GCCTAGAGGCAACTGGGGGAGGTGGGGATAGGGGAACCTGGGCCCACCCTACTCTACCAGGTTCCAACCCAAGGCCCTATGAAGCCAGTGAACTCCCTATTAAGGGTTCAAGCCTCGGCTCCTAACACATTCCCTGGGTCACTTCCTACCATAAAGCCTATCTTAGGCATCTCCTCAGCTGGCAGCAGCTCGGCGTCCCTGTCAGTCTCTGTGGTCGGCTGATCGTCCATGATCCCAACAGCCTGGTGAGTCAACAGTTCCTCTGCAGGAGCCTGCAGCAAACATCCTTTCTCCTCCTCTGCCAGTCAACTGAGCTTGGCTGCCTCCTTAAACCTGTCCACTCCACCTGGACCATGCACAACAGGGACGAGGAAGCATAGTCTCCTGGTCCCACAGTGATTGGTCAGCACCTGTTGGCCCACTGCAGGGTTGATACACCCTGTCAAACATCCTCCCCCTCAAGTTAGGCCCTGATGGCTGTCCTCCCTCATCTTCTTGTCCGCCCACTTGAGAAAAGAAATCAGCATTTGCATGGACTCTCCCTGGGTGGTGAAGTACCTTGAACTCGTAGGGCTGGAGACAGAGGTACCATCTCTAACCCTAATCCTGGCATTAGTGTCCTTCATGGAGTGGATCCATCGAAAGGACACATGAACGGGTTCCCCAGCAGATAATAATGTAGGGCTTCAATGGCCCATTTCACTGCCAGTACCTCTTTTTCTACGCTGAATATCTCGTTTCACATGGAAATAATTTCCTTCTTTGGTAGAATATTGGGTGTTCTTCCCCATCCTGCTCCTGGGATAGCACCGCTCCAAGGCCCACCTCTGAGGTGTCAGTCTGGAGTATAAACCAGTTCGAAAAGTCTGGGTGGAATAGGGCTGATTCTCGACTCAATCAATCCTTCAGGGTTTGGAAAGCGTGTTCGCAGTCCCTGGACCATTATACCCTCCTTGGCTGGGAGTTCTTCGTTAGGTCCATAAGGGGCGCTGCTAGAGTGGCAAACTTGGGCACAAAGCGTCTATAGTAACTGGCCAGTTCAAGAAACTGCCTCACCTGATTCTTGGTGGAGGGGGTCGGGCAGTCTCTCAGGGCTTGGACCTTATCCACAATTGGGTGCAACCAACCCCGCCCCACTGCGTATCCCAGGATACATTACCTCCTTCTGTCCTAGTGGCATTTGGCATTCACAGTTAGCCCGGCTTCCCTGAGGGCTTGCAGTACCACGGTGAGGTGTCTTAGATGATCTTCCCAGCTGGCACTGTATGTCACTGTTTTCAATATAAGCTGCTGTGTATTGATCATGTGGCCACAACAGCTGATCCATAAACTATTGGAAGGTTGACACAGCCCCATGTATGGCATGGTTGTAAACTGGAAAAGGCAAAACGGCGTGGCAAACTGGGAGATCGGGGTCAGGGGAATTTGCCAATACCCCTTTGTTAGATCCAGTATAGATATAAACTTGGCATTCCCTAGTTACTTGAGCAGCTCATCCACCCAGGGCAAAGAGTAGGCGTTGAATTGTGAGATTGCATTGACTTTCCGGAAGTCTATGCAGAACCTCATGAATCCATCAGATTTTGGAACGAGGACAATGGGGCTCTTCCATTCACGATTCTGCCATGACCCCCAACGGCCAGCATCAACTTGAGCTCTTCCCAGATGACTTCCCACATCTTCCTGGGCGGCAGCCGATGATGGTCTTGCACCTTCTGCCCTGGGCTGGTGGCTATGTGGTGGTGGGTCAGATTCGTCCATCCAGGGTGAGACAATAGAACAGCTGGGGAGGACTGGATTAATTGTTGCAGCTGCTGCTGTTGCTCTCCACTGAGCTCCCGTCTGATGAATATTGTTGTTAACTCGGGGGGGGAGCTCAACAGTATTGGCCCTAATTCTGGTTTGGAGGGGTGGGAGAATGATCAATAAGCCCTCTTGGGCCTTTCAGGCCATTAAGAGGTTGACATGGTAGACTCGAGTGCTTTGTCATCACCCGGGTAAGAGAACTTCATAGTCTACCGGCCTGACTCTTAGGGTCACCTCAAATGTTCCCTGCCACTTGGCCCACAGCTTGGACTTGGAGGAGGAGAGCAACAATAGTACTCAGTCACCAGGTTCTGAGGTCCAGAGCTGGGTCCCCCAGTTGTATCATTGCTCCTCGGACTGCTGGGCTTTTATCAAGTTTTTGTGAGCCAATCCGCCGAGCCTTCTGTAATATATACAGGACCGACCCTCTGATCCGAGACTCCTCCTCCTCCCAGATCTCTCGGAGGAGGTCCAGGATACCTCTGAGTTGCCTCCCATATAGCAGTTCAAATGAAGAAAATCCTGTGGATACTTGGGGCACCTTCCACGAACTACAATGCAAGTAGCAGTTTGTCCCGGTGTCGCAGGTCACCATCGATGAACTTATGGAAAACGGATTTCAAAGTCTCGTTACCATTCTACTAAACCATCAGTTTGTGGGTGGTAGACGGAGATCTTCAGGGAACAAATGTTCAACAGCCTGCACAAATCTGCCATTTATTGCAATGAAAAGTTGATTCCCCGGTATGTTAGTATCTCCCTCAATACCACGACCGAGGCAAATATTTTCAGAAGTTCCATTGCTATGGTGTGATAGTCGACCGCAGCAGCATGGCTTTGGGGTAAAGAGTCATGAAGTCTACCACTACCAATATGTGGTGGAACCCTGACCCACTTTTCTCCAGAGGTCCCATCAGGCCTATACTGATCCTCTCAAAAGGTACTCCCACCACTAGGAGCCAGATTAGGGGTGCCCTTGGGGATTCATTTAGGGCCAGCACATTGGCATTCCAGACACGAGGAAAAAATCACTCACCTCCTTGTGAATGCCAGGCCAAAAGAATCTAAGGGCCATTCAGTGTAAAGTCTTCTCTCGTCCCAGGTGGCTGGCCCAGGGCAACGAGTGGGCTAACTGCAGCAGACCTCATCGGAACCTCTCAGATAGCAGCAGCTGCTGGAGTAACTATTGGGTTTGTGGATCTCAGATTATCCAGTATAAATGGTCATTTTGGACCTCGAAGCAGAGCCCCTGGGGTGGTTGGCGCCCCCTCCTCCTTGGGGTTGGTCACTTGTTCCCATGCACGACTCAACATGGGGTCTTCTCTCTGCTCCCTCATAAAATCTCCTTCAACAATTAGCCACTTGCTCCTGACTTCCTCTGGCACCACCGCCTCGACCGAGTATGATCCAGGGCCTTCCGATTGGTCAGGGGGCTCTCCCTCCAGTCTCCTTTTGGCCTAGGAGCCCCCTCAAATGTGGTCTCTGATTTGTTTCCGCTGGCATTTGGTTTCCCCACTCATGCATGACCTTCCCAAACCACTGCCAGTCCCATCCCAGGATCACGGTTTATGCTACTGTCATGGCCAGACCGACCCGGCACGTTTTCTCGTGACAGTCAACCTCCGGCTTTACCTTAGTGGCAGGTATGGCCGTACATCCCCATGGATGCACTGGAGAGATATAGGGGCCTCTGTCCAGTCCAGTGGCTTCCCTAGGTTGGCCTGTATGAGTGTCTGGCTGTACCCTGAGTTGACCAGACTTGTTACTGGGGTACCGTTGACCAGCACAATAATCAAAAGTTCGGGCAGGCTCTCTCCGGGTCTGCGAGCCTGTGCTTGGCCATCGTTACAATCCATAAAGGAGCAATCGCGTCTGAAGTGACCCTCCTAGTCACACTCAGAACATCTGTTCCTTGTTGTCTCCATTGCAGGGTTGTGTCATGATGGTCCAAGCCTGCCGGGTGGAGTTTCCCCCTCCCAGGGTCTCATGCTGGGGTTCCGGGCAGCTCCAGGGTTTGGGGCTACTATATGCAGCCCAGATCTAATCCTTCTTTGGATTTGTACTGTCTCTTGCACGGGTCCCTCCTACAACTCCCTCCTACAACTCCCAGGTTTAGGTGCCTGTAGTCCAGGACCCTCTGTGGCTAAGTAATCTTCCATCAGAGATACTGCCTCCGTAAGAGTCGTCAGATGGGGTCGATGTATACACTCCTTCCCCACAGGGGGAAGGATCTGCGTAAACTGTTCCAAGATGACAGCCTCTGACACTCACGTTCCCATCAGCTTCTCAGGGTCCAACCACTGCCAGCAGTAGTCCCTGAATTGCTGAGCCGCTGCCTGAGGTCAAGCTCTGGGGAAGGTCTCTCTCCCTTCGAAATCGCTGATGGACTGTCTTGGGGTTAACCCCGGTGTGGTCCAAGATGACTGCCTTCACTTTGGCTTAATCGACTGCATCAGTAGGGTCTAGGGTTCTGGTAGGCGGTCTGTGCGGTCCCGGTCAAGTATGGGGCCACTAGGGTAGCCCAGTGCTCAGGAGGCCAGCAAACCATGGTGGTGACTCACTCAAACATGACCAAGAAGGCCTCTGGGTCATCCCCAAGCCCAATGTTGGCAAGTCTCACCGGTAACCCTGACAAGTGTTCTCTGTCCCTCGGCCCGACGCGGTGGCGCTGGGCAGCCCAGACAGTTGTAGGAGCACCACCATCTGCTGAACCAGGCGCTTCTGTTGAACTTGGTGCTGTGCTGCTAACTCCTTGAACTGCTGTTGTTGTTCTTGGTGCTGGGCCATCTGTTGTTGTTGTTGGGTTGCCTGCTGTGGCTGGTTTTCCAGCACCCATTTTGGTATCCATACTGGCCATGGAGTTTTATCATCGAGTCCTCCCCTTCTTGGCCCTCTTAACAGGACTCGACTGTTAAGGACAGTCAGAGGCTCTGACCCTCTGGACAGGACAGAGTGAACAATTAGTCTAAATCAGGAGTCCCCAGTAGCCACTCCTACTGGTAAGTGCAGGGCTAGGGAAACCCAGGCCCAAACTACTCCACCGGGTTCCAACTCAGGGCCCTGGAAAGCCGGTAAACTCCATATTAAGGGTTCAAGCCACGGCTCCTAACACATTCCCTGGGTCACTTTCTACCATAAAGTCCATCTCAGGCATCTCCTCAGCTGGCAGCGGCTCAGCATCCCTGTCAGGCCAGCTAGTCATCCGCAGCGTAGTCGGAGTCCACGGTCCCAAGAGCCTGGTGAGTCAACAGTTCCTCTGCAGCAGCCAGCAGCACACGTCCTTCCTTCTCTTCCGGCAGCCCCGACTGACCTGTGCGGCCTCCTTTTATCTGTCCCCTCCACCTGGAGCCTGTGTAACAGGAGTGAGGGTGTGCGGTCTCCAGTGATTGGTCAGCACCTGTTGGCCATGTGCAGGGTTGATACACCCCATCACATACCTGAAAGTCAAAAAGTCCCATAATGAACATATTTGGGAAGGCTGGAAAGAACCACAAGGGAAAAAAGGCATTTATAAATCAATTCTGCCTGCACCACCTCCAAAAATGCTGTCCAATACAGTGTCTAAAAAGAGGGTTATAATGAGAACAACCTAAAGGAAATGCACACCTTCTACACCTACTGACCTCACTAACCCTTAAAGCAGAAGTCGCCAAACTGTGGGGCACACCCCCCTGGGGGGGTGCAGAGGAACGTTCAAGGGGGCCCGGCAGGCCCAGGCCAGCCCCCACAGGGGGAGGGGAGGGAGCGCCTTCTGACCCCCTTACCCCTGTCCACATCCCCCCACTCAGAGCTGCGGCCCCGCTCCCGGCCCTGGAGGGCAGGGGGGCACAACTCTCAAAAGTTTGGGGACCACTGCCTTAAAGCAAGGCAGGGAAGGTAGTTTGCTCACCTGCTTCAAGGGGTTAGTAAGGTTAGCAGCTGCAGCATGGGAAATTTGATAGTCTCAATTCATCTTGATAAAGAAATAGGATTAAATGGGATTTTCTGAAAGGCAATGTTTATATTTAGGGGGCTTGGTTGGACATTACTCTGCTACCCTAAAGGGTAAAATGTGTCCCTTTTGTAGACCAGGAAGAGCCATCTGCTCATAAGCAAGTGCCTTCCAAGTATGTAGGGGGGGAATGGTCCCTTCTCTTGAAAGATCTTTGACAGCTGTTAATGTATGTAACAGGGCCTAGATGCTACTAGGAGAGGCTCCAAGGACAAGCAAGAGAAGGAAGGACCCATGTCAAGCTAGGGTTGGGGGGAAAATGCAAAGTCTTTCTTCCTCCCCCTTCTAGCAGCTGTAAAGGGGAGTAGGGTACACAGTAGAGCGAAGACATGAGCTTAACAGACAGGCTTGTTGGGTTATGTACTATCACTTTTCTCCCTTTCCACACAGCAGCCCCTAAATAACCATTACCTGGTCTGCGCCAACAACATCCACATCTTCGCCTACATCTTCTGCTCCGTCTTCTGCTCCACCATCTGCTGAGAAGTCTTCTGCCTTGATCACATCTTCACTGGAATGAAAAGCTGAGTAGTTTAGTTCCTGGCCTGGAAACACACTTCCCTTTGACGGAGGTTCTACTTAGGATGTGTTTTGTTTGCGGTGCTAAAAGGGAGGGCAGATTTTAAAGACTGCATGCACATGATACGAGTTGCTTTTAGGATTCTTGCATAAAGTCTTTGGCCCAAAGTGGAGGAAGAGCTTCATTATATTCTGATAAAAATGAATTTTGATTCATGCAACTTGGCATCAAACAACCAAAAAGTGTAAAAAAATAAAAATAAAACAAACCACCTATGAGTGTGTCCAGTAAATCCATTTAAGGAAAGTGGGCACGGTCACCCTGAAAATTGCATTTCTGGCTGGAGTTTGTTTTTTCCCTTTTAACCTGACAAGTGACATCTCAGATTTCTGTACCCGAGATATTACAGAGAAAATATTGCTTTGTTTGTCTGTGTGTTTCCTTGGTGCACTGGATGGCACATGGAGTCTAGCCAGAGGCCCTGTTCTGTTGAAGGTGTTGGGCACTTCCTCCATTATGTCATGTTCTGTGTGGAGCTCCCACACACTTGGCCTCAGGCCCTGCAGGAAGGAATTCACCAGTAACACAGCAGCAGATGGTGTCTCCTTCTCCAATTCCTCTTTTAGGAGTAAAGAGGAGCTGGGGGTGGGTGGGATGGAGAAACAACCCTTCCTCATTCCCAAACCCAGGGCTGGGTAGTAACTGGTACCTGGGAAGCCCCCTTTGCTCCCCACAAAGGGTTAGGGAGTGATTCAAATCTGAGGTGAGGGGGCTGGAAAGCCCCATTCTTCCCTCTGCAGCCCTTTCAAGGGGACTGGGAACTATAGAAGTCAGGCAGGAAGCCTCCTCTTCCTTCCTCAGCTGCCTATAGGACGAGGGAAGTCTGGGTGGATATGGGGGAGGGTTGTTCACTTCCTGTAAGTCCAAGAGGAGAACACAGAAGTTGGAAGATAGAATCAGGAGGAGCGTATGGCCCCAGGCAACTGCTCTGTGGCAGCACTGAGAACACAAGGAGTTCCCCAAGGCGGGGACTGTAAGGGTACATCTTCACTACCTGCCGGATCGGCAGGTAGTAATCAATCTATCGGGGATCAATTTATCGCGTCTCGTCTAGACGTGATAAATCGATCCCCGAACGCGCTCCCCGTCGACTCCGGAACTCCACCAGGGCGAGAGGCGGAGTTGACGGGAGAGCCGCGGCCATCGATCCCGCACTGTGAGGACGTGAGGTAAGTCGATCTAAGATACGTCGACTTCAGCTACGCTAGTCTCGTAGCTGAAGTTGCATATCTTAGATCGATTCCCCACCCCCACCCCCCAGTGTAGACCAGCCCCAAGACACTGCAGCAATTGCACACAGTTTTGCAGTCTGCGTATTTGAAAAATCCCAGGTCTCGTAGGGGCTTGTAAACCATTTTCCCTCACCTATGTCTTCTGCTTAGCCCCACTGGACCAAAGAATGGCAGACATTCTTGGAGACTTGTATCTTGAGACTTTAACTTCTTTCTGCTTTTTCCTGCTGCAGCAGTGAGTTCTGGAGTGCACAGGAAGTCTGGAGTCTTGTTTGTTGTCTCAGTGTGGCTGGTTTCAGGCAGGGACCCTGTAACAGACAATCAATAGCACTATTCTTCATCCTCGCTCTCCGAGACATTGAGAGAAGAATACTTCAAACAGCTCGACAGAGAGGAAAAAGCAGCATTCGTTACAATGGGTGCAGTCGTGGAAGCTAAATTCATGGGGACACTCTGAGCAAAGCATTCATTTTAAAATTCCACTGTGTTGAATGACCCAGCTAAAATCTATACAAAAAAACAAAAATGACGGCCGGGCCAGTGGCTCAGTGGCTGATTTTGCACAGCGTGCATGAGATCTCCAGCTTAGATTTCTGGGCCCTGACTCTTCCTCACCAGACCAGAGGGCATTGTCAGTGCTGCACAAACTGTGCACATAGCCCCTCTGGAAAGGCAGACCACCTTTGTGACATGCTGCTGCAACACCCCATGTCCCCATAGATACTGGGCTCTGAAGGGAGTCCCATCAATTCCTCAGATGAAGGAAGGTGTGCAAAGCACAGCCCTGAGAATGGCTGTGAGCCAGAAAGGAGGAATTAAAGGATGCTCTGGAGAGGATTCCCTTTGTTTCTCCTAACAGAATACATCCCAAAAATGGCAACACTAAGAATCTATCTTTAGCAGTTCTATAAATAACTGTTTTCATTATCAGAGGGCTTCATAAAATGTATCTAATCCTCCCAATACCACTGTGTGGAGTCAAGTAATATTATCCCCATTTAGATATGGAGAAACTGAAGCAGGGAGGTTAAGTGACTGGCTCAAGGCTACAGAAGGCATGAATGACAGCAGGGACTAGAACAGAACTCAAGAGTTTCTGGCTCCCATACTCCGATCACAGGACCAAGCCTCTCTCTAGTGAATGATGAAAACAACAACTCTGAAGGGAAAAATATAGGGTTTAGAATGGCAAGTCTACAACAGCCCATGCACTGCAGTATATTAATGCGATCTGTTAAGAAATCCATTTTTACTGAGGAAACAACCAATCAGATTTAACAAGCTGGTGGAACTTTCATACCATTCGACAGTTTTCTTTTAAAAGAAGATGTCTTAGATCTGCTTGTGGGTGACCATTCTCTTAAACTGCTGATAACAGAATTCTCTTCATCTTCATTTGCCAGCAAAGAGTTCCTGTACCACGCTAACGGGTGCCATTCATCTCCTCTGCAAGATGCTGGCTCTGTTATATACCTCTGCAGGTAACTGTACCTGGGGAAAAATGAGAAGTATAAGAAAAATCAAAGTCTCTTCTGTAGCTATCTAGGCTAGCCCTTCCTACACTTGGTTTTTTTCCCCTCTGCTCTGCAATTGGGGAGGCAGAACCAGATCCATCATGCAACAGAAAGGGGGAGGTCCTGGCTCCCCCTTCCAGGAAAACATATCAGTGCGTGTGCTTCCGAAGCTGAAAGATTGCTCAGAACATTACAAACAACGTTTGATTCCCAATAATTACAGAGCCACATCCTTCTTTTGTACAATTTCCTATACTCTAGCACAGGGAAAGTAACTGCTTGTTGGTGCTGCCAGGAAGCAATTTACTGGGTTGTTCTCTTGCAAGATAACCCCTCCCCAGCAACTGAAAGGTCTAGTCCTGCCTCTTCAACGGCAGAGCGGAGGGGAACCCAACTGAGAGGCATTCCCTTTGATTTAACAGCAAGACAAAAGGTTGCATCAGAACTCAGAATTAAGAACCGGGGGGGGGGCCTCAATCCCTTCAAGCTACAGCTCATCACTTCCAATCCAGCCAGCCCTGTTAAACCAGATCTCACCTTAGAACACACACACACACACACACACACCGTGAACATTTTATAAATTTTAATACAAGTAATTATATAATAATTATGTTCATAATTATAATTTTATATTGTTGTTACTACTCTGATTCGGAAGGCAGCCTGGAAAACAGCCTGGAAAATATCAGAGCTTTCATCAAAACAAGAAAAAGACAGACCTGGGAGGACAACTCAGATGATTAGAGTCATGCATCCTGGAGGCAATGGAGACTACTGATTATGCAATATGTTGGTTTCAAACAAGTGTGTATTGTAACTAATATTTTAGGGTCTAATTCAACTCCCACTGATGTCAATGGAAACACTCCTATTTTCAGGGATCAAGCCCTTAGCACTGATTTTTATGTAATAAATTGTTTCTAGGTATATTTTGTGGCAAACACCAACTGACAAGTAAAATATTTTACCACTAAACTCCATATACTTAGAACATGTTGGCTATACTCCCTTTCTAACAAATGTCCTTATTCTCTGTATCATGTGTTATAGGTGCATTCACAAATGTTATGCAGGTCTGTACACCAGCCCTGTGCCTGATTAATAATAAAAATGAAAATAACCAGATGTTTATTTTCAAAAGTTCATGTTGACTTAAAACATTCCATCCTGTAATTTATGGTGCAACTAAACCTAAATATTTCTAAAAGGAAATATAATCTCCAGACCTTGCAAGGCATTTTGAGCCTCCCAGAATAGAAGCTGTTACTTTACAAACATGGCTTGAATGTAGAGTTGTAGATAAAATTGCAATTTTCCCCTCCTTACAAACTTTATTGTTTTTCATTTATTTCCAACGTAGGTGGGCAAGTCAAAGACAGCGGAAGATAAATTCTAGGAATGTTTCTTGCTTGGTTCCTCACAAGAGTGGTCAAAAGATGAGCAAACCAGTAGTAGAGATATTCCTGCTTTCTTGGAATTTACCCACTGGAAAAAAATTAGACACAGCCTTGGAAAATCATCATGAAAATTTACCAGCCTGCCCATCCTGCTGATGAAATATTTTCCTAAAACAAATTGGTAAATGGATTAACAGGAATCCACCTGGGGGGAAAAGATCACCACGTGGAAGAGAACGATTGCTTATACCAAGTCGACATTGTGATGGCGGAGTTAAACAGAAGTTTGTGAAAGGTACAATCTAGTGGTACATACAAGAGATTCTAGCTGGCAAAAATAGAAAGGGTAATTACTACTAATTATCGACTGATCAAAATCAAACAATCAGAGGTCACAATACAAAAAAGGGAATCTGCACACTGCACATTTTTCTCCTGCACATTGCATTTTTATATCTTATGCATTCTATGTGTAACTGAATCCTGAATACATTTTGTTTGTCACAGATTAAGAGTAGCATGAGGTTAAACATCTTATCACTCTTAATCCTTGGCATACATGAGTCATTTGAAGCTCTCCATGAAAGATCAGTTCTAACTGAACCCAGGCTGATGCTATAATCAGTGAGCTTAAGAATCCAATAGTGAGCAAGTTACACAGGGCATGGCAGAATGCAGGCAGCATGCTTTTTCCTCCTACTTTCTGCCTGGTTTCTTCTCTGTCATGAAACTTTATCTATTGGCACTATTGTAAATTGCCCAAAAATTCACCATCGTTTATTCATATTTAATCATAAGCATCCAAGTCTTGCAAGATACTTGCTTCTTTGAAAGTGCAAGAAGGGTTTCTTTTATTTTTACTGATTTTACAAGTCAGATACATAAAAAACCGCAGCTGCAGAAGTCAAAGTTGGAGTTCCACTGACTAAGGAAGAAAAGAGAAGGAATGGAACAGAAGGAACCAAGGGACAGAAAGGAGGAAGGAGCTCCTGCGGTAGCAGAGACTGAGGAAGCAGGGTCTACAGGTTTGTCTACACTTAAAACGCTGCAGCAGCGCTGCTGTAGCATTTAGTGAAGAGATTACCTATGTCGACGGGAGAGTTTCTCCCATCCATGTAGGTACTCCACCTCCCCGAAAGGAGAGACGTCCTCCTGTCAACATAGCACTGTTTACACCGGGGTTAGATCAGTACAACTATGTTGCTCAGGGGTGTTTTGATTGGATTTTCCACACCCCTGAATGACGTAGTGATACAGACATAAGTTGATAGTGTATACCAAGCCTAACGGACACAATCATGTTCCTCTGTACTAGGATACAAAATAGCCAGAGCCACAAGAATAAATGGCCCGGTGTTATATTATTATTTTTTAATATTTACATTACAATAGCACCCAGAGGAGCCAATCAGAACCAGAATCCCACGCTGTCAGGGACTCTACACAGACACACCGAGCCATTGTTCCTGAAGTGAAGAGCTCCATGCGACACATTTTGTACCAGAATCCTCAGAGAAGCTAGTCTGCCCCAGTCATATGGATTGTGGTTTTGGCTCCTTCCATTCCATTGTCACAGTATTAGCTCGATCTCAACCTCTTCTGCTTTGCTCGAGTACAGAACTGAAAATAACACTTGAAACCACCCTTAAAAACATGTTCTGTTTGCCCCTGCCAGCGAATGTACCTCCTTCCCTCATACATAATGTTAACACCATTTTCCCCCGGGGCCTTTCTTTTTTTTATTTGGTTGTAATTATGGCTAAAAACTAGATTGGGTATGTAGATGCATGATCCCAAAAAACTGCTAGCATAGACTGAAATAGAGAAGAAATCAAAACTGAAAAAGTGTCCAATCATCCACACTTCTGATGGGAAACCAAACAGATTTCCAAAGTCGACCAGACAGAGAAGTGCTTGAGCAATTCTTCCAACAATGCAGATCAAATGATCCATTATACAAAGATACACTCTACAAAAACTATCTATGCACGAATGTGTGTAAGTGCTGCATATGACACACATTATCTAAGTTCGCTTGTCTGGCAATAAGCAATGAAGGTAACTTACACTAATCTTTTGTCAGGCTTTAGTAGCTTATTGGAGAATTCACTGATGATTAACAGAAAGTTTAAATTTGGAGGCAGGCATTTCCCTTCCACTCCAGCAGCTCCTTGAAAGGCAAATTCAATCCCTTCTCTATTAGAGGGGAAAAAATAAGAGGGACAAGGTAATTTAACAGAGAAGAAAAACAAAGGCAATGCCATGGACAATATATGGTTATGTGGAACATACTTGTGTATCATGGCTACTGATTCTCTGGATTTCACCTGATCCCAGCCAAATGTCAGTGAAAAGCGACGAGCAAGTTCTTTAATGTTCGTGAAAGAAGAATCCATGCTGTTGGTACTACCATGGGTTTCTGTATGTTTCTGAAACAGCTGCAAAACCACAAACACCAACATGTAAACTTCCAGGCAACAAAAGCACAAGAAGAACACATCAGCCATACAATACTTACCTCGGGTAGAGAGAAGCCTTGCAAACGAAATGGACAAATGCAAAACAAATTCATTTACTGAAGAATCACACTCACTTGGAACAAACCTTAGAGGTTTGAGCACTGCACGGGGAAATATCTGCAAAGGATGTCATTCTGCTTAGCGGGTAGGATGACCTCCCTACACCCACAGGCCTCTAATCCTGCAAAGTGATGAGTGCCTTCAGCTCCCACTGAGATCAGTGGATCTGGTCAGAGGGCTTAATCTCACCCTGAAGGTTAGAGAAAATCAGAGCATGGATACACAGTGGCTAGTTTTGAAAGGGAGGCAGCCATGCTTGCCCACGTAGTTGGGGGCAGGACTGAGCCAACAGAGAGACGCAGACCTTATTACTAATTTTTTTTCTAATAGAACATGTAGGTAGTTTGTTCCCTTCGACCTGCAAATTTTGAAGGTCAACGAAAGACCAACCTGGGCCAGTTGTCTATGTGATATGTAACAGGCTTTCTGACTATGTGGGCAGAATATATGTGGCCAAATGCAGCTCACCCTCACTTTATCTCATATTTCAGGGGTTGGGTCATGGATCTAAGCTCCGGGCGAAGTGTGTGAAGTCAGCAGAGCTCATGTATCAGTCTCTCTAGGAGGAGTCTGTTCTGCAACTTAAGAGTATGACATGGATGCTGGGAGAACAGATGTCCACGAGGAAACCAGGCTAGAGCAGTTTCTAAAACAGATTATCGGGCTCAATGCTGCTATAGCTATAGCAGAGTTGGTGTAACTAGAGGAGCAGGGGGCATCATCACGTGTGTCCAATTTCTTCAATAAACATCTAATTTAAATTCTCTAGTCAAGCATGGAAACAATGGGGGCCTGATCCCAGAAGGCACTGACCACCTCTGGAGAAATGCCAGCCACCCCCAATTTCAGTGGGAGTTGAGGCTGCTCAGCACCATGTAGCCAGAGGCCCTTAATCTGTGTCTTGCAACACAAGACATGTGTCATATTCCATGAATATTAACAATCCTAAAAGATCAGGTATTTGGCAAAAAAATAATTACGTTTTTACTCTTAGGCCAAAGGGCTCATAAGGTGCTTTGACAATGAAAAGCACTTGCATGAATTCAAGAAAGTGACTTTTTCACTACCTATTTAAATTAGTTTGAATAACTATGACAAGGTACATAGAAAATTATAGTGTGGGCATGGCTTTCATTAGAATCCCTTTCCTTCTGCATTACTCTTACCTGCTGCAGGCAGAGAATCAACGTCCTGGCACTCTGGATTTTGTTGTTATGCCTCGTTCTGCTCAGGGTTTCTTTAATTATATCTCCAAAATCATTGTAGGTCTATTAGTGCAAAAAATACATAACAGAAACATCACTACCTTACTACAGCTTTATGAATACACAATACCTGGGGGTACACACCTGATACACAGGAAAAACAGAGACTGCTAAGAAAAACTGAACAATTCATAAAATATTCCAGATCCTAGATATCTTGCTAAAAGGAACTTTTTGTACATGCTTTCACAAGGATAATTTTATTTATGCTCCTTTGTAAAGTACTGTGAGATCTATGAATGAAAAATAGTTAAGTATTATTCTGACAGGAGGACTGAATCTGTGAGTTGGAAACAGAATATGGAGCTTTTCACACCTAACCACTGATTCACACCCAGCCCTGGCCACGTGGAGACCAAGTGTCGTCACCAGCTGATGGCTGTGAAACCACTCATTTCACTCAAGTTTAGAGTGATCCTAGTGACCAAGTGTCACCGTCACAAATGGCACCTCTCTGGCAGTCTGTACAGAAGCCAAAGAGTTAATGAACGGGGAACTAAATTATCCTGTCTCTTAGTAATCATTCATTCTACTCTGAGGTACATTAGCAGAGCAGTGGGGAGAAGCCTGCACTGCTACTGTTCATTTCTGCAACCATTTTGTGCATAAACAGATGAGACTGGCCTCCAAGGCTGCTAATCCAGCACCTTCCACAAGCACTAGAGTCACTTTAATGGCGTAAATGCATTTTCAAAGCTAAGTGTTACCTTCATATAGTGCTTATAGATCTCAGCAGCCGCAGACATCTCCACCACGGTAAACACAATTAGCTTGCAATAGACTGCAAGAAGACTCCGCCTCCTGTGCAAATCATTCAATTTGTAGCTCTCCTTTTCCCTCTCCTCCTCTTCTGTCAAGTCTAGGGAAATAAGCATGCTAAGGCTTTGTTCTAACGTTTTACTCAATGTATTTTATTTTTAAGGCCAACTTGAACCCGAATAACACAAACTCAGCTGTTCAGTCAACTCTCTAAATAACAGACACTATCCTTTCCAAAGGATATAGGTTTATTTCCATTTCAAAGATCACAACTGATGACAGTGCAAGCTACTCATTTGCATATCCTTTCTATTCTGATCTTTGTAAGGATTTCACATTTCTACCCGTCAGAATCTCCTTGTAAGATCCTGGCTATAGCTGTAGGACAGGACCAGAACACAGAACACAGAACAAAAACCAAACACATATGACAGAAAAAGACCAGCGAACCATATCAACATCTTTTCCTTAAAATGAATCAATGCCAGCACCCAGCACTCAATGCATGAGTAACTCCACGGAAACAAACCAATATGCACAGCCCATGAGAGAAGAATTCAGTTGCAAGTTTCCAAGTGGTTATCAACACTGACATTTGACATTTACTTAGCATGTACACTCTCTGGGGCAGGTCATTTTGTTCTTTGTGTGTATACTGCCTAGCACAATGGGGTCCTGGTCCATAACTGGGGGCCCCACGATTACTTCAGTGCAAATAATAATAAATTTGGGGACCAATTGCTTTTACGGTTTTTGCCAGCCTGGTTGCTGGAGGTGCGTGGAGAGAGTTACCTGCAGAAGGAAAGCCTGGGAGGGTTAGACTCTTGCCTGGAGTGAATTCTCCCTCCTCGCTGCCAGAAAGCTTCCGGGCTCTCTGGCCTAGGAATCCCACATGACCTGTTTCTGCCTCTCAAACCCAGCCTCTGGCCTAGGAACCAATGAGAGGCAGTTAGGCTGACCAGGAGTAAATGACTGTCAGGGTTAGAACTGACATCGGGCAGCTGCCAGATAACACGGGCAGATGGGCTCATGGGAGAGAAAAGACAAGGAATCGCTCCTGGACGAAGGAGTTTGTTGAGTTTATTGTAGGGGAGACAGTAAGACAGTGAGTTTGGAGGGGGAAGTTGGGACCCTTTGTTGGGAGGACTGAGGAATTGAAAATATGTTTCTCCTCATGTTCAGTTCCTCAGAGCAAGTTGCTGGATGAGTATCATAGAACTGTAGTCCTGGAAGGAACCTCCAAAGGTCAGCTAGTCCAGCCCTCTGCACTGAGGCAGACCAAGTAAACCTAGACCATCCCTGAGAGGTGTTTGTCTAACCTGTTCCTAAAAACCTCTAATAAGGGGGTTCCACAACCTCCCTTAGAAGCCTATTCCAGACCTTAACTACCCTTATAGTTAGGAAGATTTTCCTATTATCTAACCTAAATCTACCTTGCTGCAGATTAAGCCAATTACTTCTTGTCCTACCTTCATGGAGAACAACTGATCACAGTCCTCTTTTTAACAGCCCTTGACATATCTGAAGACTGCTATCAGGTCCCCACTCAGTCTTCTTTTCTCAAGACTAAACATACCCCATTTTTTCAACCTTTCCTCAGAGGTCAGGCTGTCTAAACCTTTCATCATTTTTGTTGCTCTTCTCTGGACTCTCTCCAGTTTGTCCACGTTTCTTAAAGTATGGTGCCCAAAGCTAGACGCAGTACTCCAGCTGAGGCCTCACCAGTGCCCAGCAGAGCGGGACAGTTACCTCCTATGTCTTAGGTACAACACTCTTGTTAATACACCTCGGAATGATATTAGCCTTTTTCACAACTCTTACTCAATTTGTGATCCACTATCATCAGTGACCAGGGCGTGAGTGGGCATGCCTAGTGGTCCAACCAGGAGTCTGGCCTAATGGTTAGAACAGTTGTTGGTGCCTAGGGCCAGAGGTCAGACACCACAGTAAGAAATCGGATGAGAGGACTTAGAACCAGGTTACCTGGAGTGAAGCAAGGCTGGGTCCAAGGCAGGGTCCCAGGCAAAAGCAGGACTGGAATAAGGCTGGGAACAAGGCGTGAGCAGGACTGAAATCAAGATTGGAGCAGGAGCTATCGCAGTTGTGGGCAAATGGTTTGAGCAGCCACTGAACTGTTGCTTAAGAGCTCGTCTGCTGACCCTTCCAACTGATCAAGTGGTGTAGCCAATAAGGCAGCCTACGACAGGCCCACTGCATTCATTAGGGTGCCCAGAGACTGGCTCCGTTGCAGGCCCCAATGCCTGATCCACTATAACCCCCAGATCCTTTTCAGCAGTACTACAACCTAGCCATTTATAACCCATTTCGTAGTTATGCATTTGATTTTTCCTTCCTAAGTGAATTTCATCTTGTTGATTTCTGACCAATTCTCCAATTTGTCAAGGTTGTATCGCCGCAATCTTGGTGCCATAAAGAATTAGCAGCATCTTTTCAAAATCATTCACAACAAAACCTAATTTTTGCATTACTATTCTAAATCTGTTTGAAAATTATATAAGAGCAGCAAATACCATAACACTTTCTGCAAAATCAAACTCACTCGAATAATATATACTAACCCCTAGTTTGATGGCTTGGAACTATTATACATCAACTGATCCACAGTTCCTCACCTAAAATCCCTCCAGGGGCGTGGTTAACAGAATAATTCTAAGCCATTAAAATCTATCCCAGGATTTTACAGTGCTACCTATCAATGTACTACGTACCTCAGCCCCTTCCATATAAAAATCAATTAGCAATAGCTCCTCTGGTAAAGCCACAGCAGACATAGATCTGTGTATACTAAGGGATCCATTTTGTTTGTATTCATATGCTACAGCTCTATTTGTAAAGAAATCAAAAAAATTAGCAGCCCCTCAGCCTGGCAATGTCAAATGCTGCAGATGAATGACATCAGAAAATGTTAGTTTACTTCCTTGCTGAGGACAGTGGCTGACCTTTGATTTCTTCTTTCTCCTCTGTGAAAACATGATCCTGGATAAACAAGAGCATTTTTGACTGAAGGGATGTGCTGGGAAGATACTGAAGGACTCCTACAGCTTCATCTTCACGTGAAGATTGGTGACTCACAATCATCAGTAAATCACAGAGTATCATGAAGGCCTGTAACATACACACGTGCCAAACAAGGATTTAGGAATTTGGGGAAAAGCTGTCAGAACAATGATATTTTTTCATCTCCATTATCAACTATTATTCCTAGAAGACCAAAGTTACATTCTCAGCAATTAAACCCATTTTTTCAGGCATTTATAAACAAACGAGAGCAGTAAATACACTCATAACAACAGTGAGTGCAGTGATTGTTAAAAGGAGAACTGCAAATGCAAATATGAAAATTCAATTTACTTCAATAATATGTGCTGAAAGTGCCCTGCCAACTACCCAAGTTAGAAGGGGCATTCATAGCACATCAGCAACATAAAGAGCAACCTTTTGTTTCCTCTGCCACCACCCATTTAAGGTTCCTTGAGTCTCACAGATTGCCAACTCCCAATCCAGGGTGACACCACGGCACACACCACGCTGTGACCTCAGTTTATATAATTAGGTTAATACATTTAGTCTTCAAATCACCTGACAAATATTAATCCATCCCAACAACACCTCTTCAAGGTAAATTTTGTTATCTCCGCTTTACAGATGGAAAGACTGAGGAGTCAATGGCAGAACAGCATCCAGTCCTGTGCTCAAACCTCTAGACATCATCTGTTTCTTCCCTCCTCAGTGCCAGAGACCCACATTGTAGCCCAGAGGCTGGGAAAGTTGTGGGGGGAGGACAAAAGTTATATTACATTGTGCATTTTAGTAGTCTTACCATTATTTTACATGTAAAATTTAAGAATATTTTGCAAACCCTTACAATATATTTTATTAATGAAGAGCTGGCTACATCAGCTCAAGGGTTTTACCAGTGGTAGCATTTAGCACAAGTTATTGTTGAGGAGAAAAAAATCTTCCTATTTACATTTTCAGTTCAGTTTTAATTAACACTGCAACTGAGACTTAGCCCCCAGTCCTGCAACTGGCTCCATGCAGATGCATTCCAGTGCTTGCACAGCACGCCGTGGTAGTTCAGTGCTCTCATTAACAAGGACACCACTTATTTTAAACTAAGACTTTTAGAAAGCAAAATAAATGAAGAAAAGGAGTTAAAGGAGGAGTGAGCAAAACACACCATTAAACAAACAAGCCCCTACAGAGCGACTGACCTTTTCACTTAAATCTTTATCTTTATGGCTGAGGTAGCATGCACAAATCTGGCAGAAAAATCTCAACTCTCTGTTCAATGCCAAAAGAGTCTCCTAAAAATTTATGAAGGAAAAAACAAAGATTAGAGAAATGATGGGCATGGACACCTAGCCAAGGACAGGAGTAGAGCACCAAGACATGTATATCTATTGAATCAGTCCCTAAATGGTTAGCACCCTTCTATCACTTCTGATACATCAAAAAACAAAAGATGCCAGTTCCATGTCAGTATCTTCTATATACAGGGATACAAAAGAGGAAGAGGACAGACTGAAGAAAGCAGCACTACTCAGTGCAACCAGAAATCTCTAGATAGAGAAACTACACTGTTGTTTTTATTTGCATGTGGATCAAAATGTAGGAGAGTTCTCATTCTTGTAATTTAAAACTAAAACACCCCATGAAGTGCTTAGCATGCTTTTGGTGCTGTGTAATATCAATTCATAAATAATAATAATAATAACAGAAAAGTGATGGTCAGATTGCCTAACACTTTCCCCGGGCTTTCTTCCTGCATGCCATAGTGCACTAAACACAAACAAATATATGTAAAGACTGAATTCTAAGGGTTTTCATTGAATATTGTATTTTCACTGGTTTATGTTTAGCAAGCGATCCTTGTCTCCACCATATGCCAGGATTCAGAAGCACAGAACTTTTCACTGAACACAGATGAGCACTTGTTTAATTTAATTATGCCCTTACAGAGATTTTTAAAAGTCTCCACTTTTCCAATAGTAAAACTCAGGAGAGATAAATGCCTAATCCTAATTTGGTTTCTCCAACAAAATGTTCACAGCATCATTTTGGGAAAGCTTGTCTCTCCCAGGCATCAAAGGACAGCAAGTGAATGTGAACCTTTAAAGTGCACCACTTGGTTGCAGAATGATTTGCACTGGCCAACCTTGGAAGATGACCTCTCCACAACTGAAGCTAGCTGCCATAAGAGAGCAAAGTACGTGCACTGTAGAGCTGGTAGGATCATCTGCAAATAAAAGTACATCTCTTTTAATAATGTGAAAGGCTTTGTCGTGAACGCAAAGAATCAACAGCTCATATTCTGTATGCTGCTTGTACAAAGATTTCTGCAGCATGAGACATTTAGATCCCAAAACCAGACTCAGGAGGTTTGCAGGCAACTAAGCATGACTTCCTCAGAACCTTTGTCTCTGGATTAAGTTCCTGATTCAGTAAAGCATTAAGGCTCATTGACTTCAATGCAGACTAAGCACACGCTTAAGTGCTTTGTTAAACTTGCACTAGGTAATCATGGCCAGTGGAGGCTATCAGCCTGTAATGTTGAGCAGTATTTCTACCTCCAGCAGCGTTAAAGCTGAACAGACAACTTGAGGTTTGTAGTTTAGACCATAGTTAAGGCTACGTTTTAGTCAGGGGTATTTTTAGTAAAGGTCATGGACCAGTCACGGGCAGGAAACAAAAATTCACGGCCCGTGACCTGTCCATGACTTGTACTATATCCCCCTGACTAAATCTTGGGAGGGACGGGAACCCTGGGGGGCGCCATGGGTGCTCAGGGGTGCAGCCCGGGACCCCCGCAAGTGCTGGGGGGGGGCAGCCTGGGACCTCCATGGGTACGGGGAGCGCAGCCCAGGACCCCCACTGGTGCTGGGGGGGGGGGGGGGTTGGAGGGGCTGGTAGGCTCCCTACCTGGCTTCGTGCCTCCCTGGAAGCAGCGACATCCCCCTCCCTCTGCTCCTAGGCGGAGACGTGGCCAGGCAGCTCTGAACGCTGCCTCCGCCCTGAGCACTGGCTCTGCAGCTCCCATTGGCTGGGAACCGCAGCCAATGGGAGGTTCATGGGTGATGCCTGCAGGCAGAGGCAGTGCGCAGAGCCCCCTGGCTGCACCTCTGCCAAGGACGGATGTTGCCGCTTCTGGGGAGCCCCTCCCCCCCCCGAGGTAAGCGTCGCCCAGAGCCCTCACCCTCTCCCGTGCCCCAATCCCCAGTCCTGAGCCCCCTCTCACACCCAAACTCCTGCTGCTGCTGGAAGTGGGGCGCAATGGCCGGAGACTGCCCCAGCAGCGGCCAGTATGGCTGGGCCAGGGACTGCCCCAGCTGCTCAGGAGGCTCCCGGGCTAGCCGCTGCAGAAGTCACAGAGGTTCCGGAAAGTCACGGAATCCATGACCTCCATGACAAACTCGTAGCCTTAACTATAGTTAATAAGCAAATTGGCTTCACTATAATTCCTTTTGCAAGTAACGGGTCTGAAATAGTTTCACTTCTGGTTAAATTCAATCTGCGAGTGACAAGCAAATCCCTGAATTATTTGTTTTTTGTTCAGCGCAACATTGCACAATTGAGAAAGAGAAATCCTGTCTCTGATTCTAAGCAAACAATTAATCCAGACTCAGACAATAACAGCATTGGACAATCTTTGCATTAAATTAATCCATGTCCTAATTCCACTGACTTCAACAGGGTTATACCAGAGATGAAGTTGGCTCTCTGTGTCTCAGTTTCCCAAGCTGTGGAATGGGAATAACAACATCCATCTCCCTCACAGGATGCTGTTGTAAGGTAGAGCCCTGAAGCGGGACTGGGATCCCGTGGGTCCCACAGGACCTGCTGCCACAATAACAGGAGTGGGTAAAATGTATTTTGTTGTGGGCAGGATTGGGTGGGGAAAAAACAGACTGCAGTAATTTGTGGGAAAACACTAAATCTCTTGTCAGTTTGTCATCAATGGAATTTCAGCAATGTAAAGCAAGTTTTTCTTTTCTTTTTTTTTAAGTAAAGGTTTCAATACTTAAATTTAAGTGAAGGATAGTAAGATTTGGTGTCTATTATAACAGGAGTTAAAGTATTTTTTTTACATGCTTTAAGGAAGATTTGTTTTATACTGTGAGTGGTAAAAATTGTGTCTGAATTCTGTTTATATATACAATATATTAACCGACCATTTTCTTTTGTGTTGCTGTTGGGGGTTTATTTTAGTAGCATGGAGGAGTCTCTTGCTCTTGCAGGATTTGCAGAATCTAAGGCTTTTGCAGGTGGGAGCAGGATAAAAATGCAAGAAACAATGTGGGAGTGGGTGAAAGTGGGTGAAAGTGGGGCGGGACAGGAGCAAGATTAAAAAATAGTCCCATGCAGGGCTCTGGTGTAAGGTTCAGTAAATGTTTGTAAAGTACTTGGATAGAATAAATGCTTTATTAGTGCTCAGTATCATCAATTTACCTGAACAGGTAAACTCCCATACTCCATCTCAAAAACCAGCAGCTTTGAAGTCTTCCCATAGAGATTCCATTTGGTGAGATTGTGAGCACTGCCAGGCAAAAAGGAAATGAAATACCATGCTAAAATAATCAAAAAGAGAAGAGATAAAAGCTACTGTTTTTAACAGTCCCATTTCTCCCTACATGCAACCTGTTCCTAAAGAAATGATCACAGCTACCAAAGAGATTATGCTTTTATTTGGTGAAGAGAGGCTGATTACCTTCACAGTGATACCTAAATTTATTAGGGGAAGTAAGAAAAATCTCACCTACGAATATAAAAAGTAAAATGTATCCTCTTTTTGCCAGCATCTAATGGATATCAATGACTTTCAGTGAAAACTAATTGACAAACACTGCACCACAAAAATTAAACCAGTTTTGCATGTGCTGGATCCATTTGTGCCCTATGATCCATATAATTAATTTGGAAATAAACGACCTCCATCTATGCTGACTCTATGTTGGCAGGTAAAGCACAAGGATGTTTGATGATAAATGTTAAAGCTGGTCATGATTTGTTTCCTCTACAATGAAATCTGCTAAGAAGAGATACCTGAAATCTTCCAGTATAGATAGAAAAAGGGAAATACAGTTTACTCTGGCCTAATATTAATTATAGGCTTTAGCCTATTGTTTCAGTAGTTATCACAGAGTCTTGTTCCTACTACAAAAAATGCAACTTGCGTGAGTCAAAGGAATGGGATTATGCACAAGGAAACTGAACTTTGACACTTTTTCCACACAAACCAGGAATGCTCTCTCCAAACACTCATCCAGTAGAAGCTCAGAGTTATGAACTGTCCAGTCAACCACACAACTCATTTGGAACTGGAAGTACACAATCAGGCAGCAGCAGAGACAAAAACCAAAAAGCAAATACAGTACAGTTCTCTGTTAAACATAAACTACTGAAGAAATAAAGGGAAAGGAGCATTCTTTTTCTGCATAGTAAAGTTTCAAAGCTGTATTAGGTATCAGGGGGTAGCCGTGTTAGTTAAATCTGTTAGTCTTTAAGGTGCCACCGGACTCCAAAGCTGTATTAAATCAATGTTCACTTGTAAACTTTTGAAAGAACCACCATAACATTTTGTTCAGAGTGACGAACATTTCAGAGTTATGAACAACCTCCATTCCCGAGGTGTTTGTAACTCTGAGGTTATACTGTACTTCCCAAAAGAGATCTCAAGCTTCATGCCTTAAACAGTATTTGGAGCAACAGGGAATGTCAGCAATGCAAGATGAAGGGAAAGCTACTCCTAACCCATGGCCCAATTCTGCCACACTCAGTAGTATCTTACTTGATGAGGAGTCTCAATAAAGTCATTGGTAAGATCCTACTCAAGGTGAGTAAGGGTTGCAGAACTGGGCCACTAGTGAGCAAGCAAGAGCACTCTGCACTACATGAGAGCAGGGCTTCAGAGTCTTGCTCTTTGAGAGATGGAGACCAGACAAATTAGAGTTAACATATTGTGCCTGCTATCAAACATAGTGCTCTTACCCTACACGCTGATTGCCAGTCTCGACACTAAGGTGTCTCAAATGGTATCCAGCTAAGAGGGAAGACACAGAAACAGCCCAAAGGAAAGGACCTACATGCAGACAGTGATATCCCAATCCCGTAAGCAGTCCACGTGCAGACCTCTGATTGACTTCATCACTGCCACTCAAGCCTAGTAAGTTCAAAAAGAATTCTCTGCTCAGAAAGCCTGCCAACATTTAGGAGAGTCTAGAAACTGACAGGAAAAAGTACTTGTGATAAAAGGAATTCCACCTGACCGTTCTATGCACAAACATCACACCTAGTGACTATTTTGATTCTTTTATGTAAACTTGATTAGCCAGTCAACCAACAGCAATTCCTGCTTTTATAGCAGCTCGGTGAGGTTACAGTATGCTAACGGTATAGGAGAGGAAGGCAGTAATCATGTAAACAAACATCTCACTTATGAAAAGCTGCTATTCTTCTCAAAGTGGAATATATTCGGCAAACTCCTTCTTCATCTGTGCAAAGACCTTCTCCCTAAATCACACGAGTTAGGAAAGAGAACAGAATGAACAGAGGTGTTGTGGGCCAGCTGCTAGCTCCTCTACTAACCATGGGCTTGAATTAGACTTCGTCCCAGTTTCGGGAACCATTTGCCCCTCAACTATGTTCCCTAGACCCCTCTCTAAGATAAAGAATAATGTACATGGGATGGAAAGAAGTTACATGTCTGGGAAATGCCATGCTGCTGCTCTCGTATTATAACATCCTCATAACTGAACACCCCACAGCTGCCTCTAGCGTCTTGGTAATAAAAACTACAAAGTCTAATGCAGACCTTCTCACATTGTGGTGTGTGGTCACTGTTGACCCATCAAGCACCTGCTTGTGGTCTGCAGAGAGCTAGCTGCTCACATGGTGCTGGCTTTCCTTGTTTTCAGCTGCCAAGTCACAAAGACAGCTAAAAATACATTAAATACTTTCCTAATATTATTTTCCCATATATGCAATTGCTGTGGTTTCCACAAAGATACGACAGAATCACAAATGGCAAACGAGGTACTCCTTCCAATGAAGAATTAGAAGAGAAGGGTTCCATGAGACAACCTCTTTATTTAGCTGTGGTCCACACTACACAAGTGTTCAAGAACCCCAGTCGACCTCTTAAAAGCTTATTTCTAATTTAAAAAATACTCACACATTGGAATAGATGTCTATTTAAACTACCAAAATAAATCCAATGTGTTTTTTTTTGGCCTGACACACTTACAGTATCCCAGCACCCAATAAAAATCCACTTGTCTGAACTCCCGTACTATGGCATGACACCTGTTAGCGATGGCACAGTTCATCAGCTACAGGCTCCTGTGGTTGAAATCAGCCAGCAAGCTATTCATATCTCCACCGGCTGTTTCTGCTTTTGAGAACTAATGAAAAACTTGGAGAGGGACTCAGCAGTCCTCCTTCCAAAAAGCAAAAGCTACTTTCCTGTGATCTAATAGTACCTACAGAATTATCTTTAAAAAAACCCACTCAAAACAGCAGCAAAGTTATAAAGAGCTTTTTGATTACTGCCAATATGTACAAATGTAGAATTATACCTCCTCTAAAATACTCTATATCTAACAGATCCACCTAGTGCTTCTCATTAGCGCTTAGATGGGCATTTTCAAATAGCAACATTAACCCTCTGGAGCTCAGGGCTAGAATATCCATTGGTGCTCTGGCCATAAGAATCCACATGATAGTGCACGCCCAGAAATCCCATTCCGTAGTGCCATAGACTACACCATCCCTTCTCTTCCCCTTCTTCCTGCCAGAACACAATTTTCACTCCTTTAAAATGTAAACAGACAGCCCTTTCAGAGTATTCACACTGCCTCTGTAAGCTTTGCTCTCCCCAAGCAAAGAAAAACCAGTACATTACCAGTGTTCACATCTCTCCCTTGTATTTATTTCATTTTGATCTTGAAATGTTTCATGTATTTCTACTTCCAGTCACACGCACCTCATGCCAAGAATCATCCAGCAGCTCATTAAGTTTGTCCACCAATTCGTCTATCAGCTGAGTTCTGGCAAGATCCGCCCTCCTGTGGATGGCCAGATCTTCATTGCAGAGGACATAATACATCCTGGAGCAAGCCTCGAGGACATCCACGTCAGAGTGTTTGGCTACAATGCCTTTCACCACTCTCAGCAAAGCATCTACGTGCTGCAAGTGATCATGATGATAGTCAAGTCAAAGTTATGCCTATTTATGTTTATGTCTTTTTACTTTACACAACTGAAAACGAAATAAATGCCCGTTTGGGGAGGACAGGCAGGGATTACAGGACAAGATTTTGTTTGTTGCTCTAGGTCTTATAACAGACCTTTTTTACTGTCACATAAGAACGGCTATACTGAGTCAGACCAATGGTCCATCTAACCCAATGTCCTGTCTTCCAACAGTGGCCAGTGCCAGATGCTTCAGAGGGAATGAACAGAACAGCAATTATTCAGCAATCCATCCCGTCACCCAGTCCAGCTTCTGGTAGTCAGAGGTTTAGGGACACCCAGAGCACGGGGTTGCATCCCTGACCATCTTGGCTAAGAGCCAACAATGGACTATTCCTCCCTGACCTTATCCAAGTCTTTTTTTTTTAACCTAATTATACTTTTGGCCTTCACAACATCCCCTGGCCACAAGTTCCATAGGTTGACTATGTATTGTATGAAGAAGCACTTCCTTATGTTCGTTTTAAACCTGAGGCCTAGTAGTTTCATGAAGTGACCCCCGGTTCTTGTGTTATGTGAAGCTGTAAATAACACTCCCTATTCATTTTCTCCACAACAGTCAAGATTTTATAGACCATTTATTATATCCCACCTCTGCACGTCATATCTTTTCTAAGCTAAACAATCCCAGTTTTTTTAATCTCTCCTCATATGGAAGCTGTTCCATATCCCTAATCATTTTTGTTGCTCTTCTCTATACTTTTTCCAATTCTAATACATCTTTTTTGAGATGGGGTGACCAGAACTGCACATAGTGTTAAAGATATGTGTGTATCCTGGATCTATATAGAGGCATTAAGGTATTTTTTGTCTTATTTTCTATCCCTTTCATTCCCCTAACATTCTATTAGCTTTGTTGACTGCTGCTGCACATTGAGTGGATGTTTTCAGATAACTATCCACAATGACTCCAAGATCTCTTTGAGTGGTAACAGCTAATTTAGACCCCATCATTTTGTATGTATAGTTGTATATCTTAATATCTTCCTAAAACCTTAATTACCTATTTCAGCCCCAAGTCTAGCAATACACATGACTCTAAATAATAACAGTAGAAGAGACTGAGGGGAAAGAGGGCAAAGAAAGGGCCCTCTAGACACAAGGCTGCCTGCTGCGGTAACAAAGATGAAGCATGTTTCAGAGCTCCCATCATTCTGTGGTGGGCTTATTCCCATGAGTGGGTCACTGACAGTATTGTTTGTTACACAAACAGAAACAGATAACAGCCCCTTTCTGCCATATTGCTACTGCTTTATCGCCCCCTCAGCTAATTTTTTGTGCTGGAAGTACATGGATGTGATTTTTCCCTTGCCTTGTTATGGATATTTACAGGGGGGTTAATTTTAGCAATCCACTCCACTTATGTATGGGCTTTGCTATTTCAAGGATTTCATCCTTCCATTCCTGAATTCCCCTCCTCCACATACAGATATACTATCCCCATTCTTCTCTTTGCAGTTACTAACCTCCCTCAGCAGCTGATAAGGGAGACAGTCTCCAATGAGAATTCAACTTCTTTCTGCAGTAAGCTGCTGGGAGATGCCAACTTGGATACATGTTGTAACTCCCCCTCCTCTCCACCCAACAAGAGGTCAAGAAGCAAGAATTAGTTTATTCCCAAAGCTGGGCCTCCTGCATGAAGCCATAAATCGTTATCCACCAGGGCCTTAGGCCAACCTTGCTATATCCATACAGACAAATGTTAAAGCATTTCCCTGGTGGCCTCAGTTCAAATATGAAGGGTTTCAACAGGGTATAAGTATTTCTTCATGTCCCAACAGTCTCCTGGCTGTAACAAGGTCTCACTATGCCCTGTAAATTGTCTCATAAATTTGTTATATTTCACACACATCCAACTGCCCCAATTCCTATTCACCTTCTCCAGACGTCCAGTACTGTAAACATCTAAATCATAATACTGGGGAATTTGCAGGAGGTTCGCCACTTTTTCAGCATCTGCTGAATACTGCAGAGGAAAACAGGATATGAGTGTGCTGCAGGAATTTTAATGAAATATTTAACATGCGCTCATGGAACAGCTGCTAGTTACCTTTGCCAAGAGCTGAGGAAGCACCACAATAAAGTGCTCAGTAATTTTGGTACAATCTTCCAATTGTATTTTCTTCTCTTTCGCTGACAGGATCTACAGACAAAGCATTCTGCTTCAGTTATAAAATACTCTTGGAGTTGGTTGGAATTTTACACCTATCCCAAGGTTAACTTTGCATATTAATATACCTTTAACTAACACAAACCGCCTGGCTGAGGCAAAGATTTTTTCCCCCCATGGGATTTCTCTCCCTCCCACCTTTTTTTTTTTAAATAAAATACTTGAGTTAGTGTTGAACAACCAGAGTGCTGTTTGGATGTAGGCTGCTTTACAACGACATCTACTGATGGATAAAATGGTCACTGTGTGTCGTTAACATGCTTCCACGGAGCTGAGCTTCCTCTAGAAGCTCATCTCATTCAATATCCACTGCTAAGATGTTTTGTCTGAAGGCCAAAAGGCATCGTGTTTGTCTTGTACAAACAATGCTGCTCTCTTTCTGCCGACGTGCCTGTGGCTAGGAAAGCACTTTTGGCAGAGCATGGAGGGAGGACACGTTTGATTGCAACATAATAAATATATTAGAATAAAACCCACTGACCTTTTTGGCCGCTCCTCTGCCCACAGGAGGGTGACCTTCAGCAGCTTCTCGAACGGTCATTACGATTATTTCAACGAGAGCGCTTTCCTGGGCATCCCTCAGTGCTGTAATCAAATCATGGTCTCTTCAGTGTCTCACAAAAGAAAAGTGAAGATGCAGGGATGACTAATGAGGAAAGTCTACTCATTCCTCAGAACAACTTTGAGGGGGGGAGAGAAATACTGTTGAAACTGCTAAAAAACTGCTGAAAGTTTGCTAAGTCCAACCTGAATGTGAACTGAAATTATTTTCTGTTATACAGAGTAAAAAAAGGAACTATTTCTTCCATGGCACCTTTGGGAGACAGGTTCCTAAAAATATCTTTAAAAATCTAGGCCTATGTGCTTTGATCCCACAGCAAAGAACTGCCTCTAGTTCTGACACAATAAACAGTGTTCAAGTCATTTTCTACATAAAACTAAACCCTCTAAAATATTTTATTTCTGAAAGTGACATTAAATTCAATTCAGCATCTTCCTTTCCAGTGGTGAACATCAGCTCCACACTACTCTGTTTCAATGAGATCGGCGCATTTAGGTTCCTTAACTCAGCCATGAAAACCAATATGCCCCTTGAAATGTAAAAGATAGATTAAGATTTCTGAATACAAAGGAACCTTCATGTAGTGAAGTCTTTTTTCTTCTCACCTTATAGCGAAGTTATTCGGTGTGATTCACTACAACCACAGCTACAATACACACATTGTGATTCACAGAAACTATTTGGAATTTTTAATTTACTTTAGAATAAAATAAATTTTCCTAAATGTGTTATGAGTGGATCTCACTGCATTTGACAAATAAAGCAACAGGTTCAGTGTCGCAAAAATGACGTTTCCCCAGAAGAGAACAGGCCAAATTCAGACCTAACTCCAATGAAATTTCATCCTCTTCCACCAGACCTGAGGCTCATCTTCTGGGGAACCTTTAGCAGAATGTGACTCTAGAACAGGGGTCGGCAACCTCTGGCACGCAGCTCGTCAGGGTAAGCACCCTGGCGGGCCGGGCCAGTTTATTTACCTGCTGACGTAGCAGGTTCGGCCGATCGCGGCCGCCACTGGCCGCGGTTCACCGTCCCGGGCCAATGGGGGCAGCGGGAAGCGGCGCGGGATGTGCTGGCCGCGGCTTCCCGCCACCCCTATTGGCCCGGGATGGCGAACCGCGGCCAGTGGGGGCCACAATCGGCCAAACCTGCTGTGTCAGCAGGTAATTAAATGGCGGCCAGTGGGGGCCATAAGCGTGCCAAACGTTGCCGACCCGTTCTAGAACCACATATAGCAACACGGGGCCCTATATGTGCCTCTTCCGCAATCCAGGGATCTGACTGGAGATTCTCTCCTCCAGCAAGTAGAGAACCATTCACCACAGTGCTCCCAAAGCTGCCTGACACAGACCTGACTGTTGAGGTAGAAATAGTACAGAACAAACACACTGCGGCCCCTGGAATCCCTTCTGCACCCTCTGAGTAGCCGAGAGAGAGAGAGAGAGAAGAAACATTCTTCACCTTCTGCCCCCCAACAGGCAGGCAGGAAGGAGGGAGAAAGAAGATAGGAGGGAGGAGTCACTGAGAGGCATAAGGGTTGGATAGTGTTTCACAAGGTTTTCGTAGGAATACTGCATCAATATTTGAGGGCATTGAGTCATGGCAGGACACTGAGCCAAAACTGTTTTGTGGCTCTATGCAACCAAGAGGCTCTTCAAGTGACCTTGCTATAGTTCAAGGTGAAGGAAGTTTCTTCTAGTAAATAAAACGAGTAATTTGTGCAACACTAAGGTTTTAGCTCACCTACCTTCTTCTTCAGCAGTTTCCAATAAAAGAGTGGTCATGCACTCCCAGTCCTTCAGCAAACTGCCTGCCCAATCCCACAGGCTGTCTACAAGGTACGTGACGTGTTTATGTAGCTAGGGATTAAAAACATACGCCTACAGAATCAAACATTTACTGAAATATGAATACAGCTTATTACATATTTCACCCTCTTTCTCTCATTATAGAACCGTATATGTGTATATATTTTTTTTCAATGTGTGTATTTTTTGACTACACCCAAACTAAATAGTAATTCTTCCAGTTGATATATGGGGAACATCATAAGAGAAAGAGAGTTACTTAAAGGACAGAAGAAAGATTTCCTAAAAAGACTAGTCTCCCCAAAGCTGTCCTGAATATCACTATTTGATTGCTGTTTGTAACACCTAAAATGCCCACTCCCATTCAAGAGCTTGAAATGAGTTACACTTTAGTTGCTATCCCTGGCTGAGCAGTCCTAGTTTTTTCAGAAAGCCAGTTCAACACCCACTCTCTGCATTGATACAACTGTAGAATAAGAGGTGTGGTACAACCAAACAAACATGTACAGTTTTACTTTACTGAAGCTCATCCTAGAGTTGAGAAAGTATCAAGTTCTAAGATCAACAGTTCTGAGCATGCAACCAAAAAGACCTTTCAAAAGGAAGTCTCCTCCCCACTCACCCACTTCTCCCTCCAACTTCCAGCAGCACCTCAATACCAACTCTCAGCCAGCTGCACTGGTTTGGAAAGGCTCCTCCCTCAACTCTTCGTCTATCACAATCTCCATTTTCCTTACCTCACTCTCCAAGAAAAAAGTTATTAATTTTCTCATGTAGCAGGTATTAGCCCCAAACTTCCCTCTTCTTTTGGGTGGGACTTCCTCTTCAGTTCCCTGATAACTAAGCAGCCTGCCAATGGAAAAAAAAAAGTCAGTCCAATTCTGTTGTGCACCTTTAGATTACTCAGTGAAGCAGCACAGATTCTGTCAGGATTTCAGGCAGTTTTACTTCTTTCTTTTAAAATCTATTCATCCATTCAGCAAACATCAAATTCTACTGTCAGCTGGAAGGAGAGGCACTAGATTATTTTTAGCTAGAAGTTCTCTCTGTGAAAGCAGGGACTACCTGCAGCAGCTAATACTGGGGCCCTGCCAGTTGTCTGGGCAACATACATAGATCCCATGGCAATGAGTACACCAAGCATTAGGCATTTATTTATCCTGTAAAGGTGCCCACTGTAATTTAGAGAAAATCATAAAAGAGAAATATCCTTCCTATACAAATCTTACTGCCCAGCAATACTTCATAATATGGTACATCTAGTCTCTGAAAACCAAGCCAGGCTCTTAGGATACGTCTACACTGTAATGTAAGCCCAGGGTTAGTGGGACTCGAGTCAACTGACCTGTGTTAGAAAACGCAGGGCTTGAGCATCCACACTAATTCTTTACCCTATGTTATAAATTTTCTAGCCCGTGCTCAAACCTGGGGCTCTGGCATCCACACTGCAGCACGCAGATCCAGGTCACACCCATCATGTCACAGACTCCCTAGTACCCTCCCAAAATGTGGCCACTCTAGACCTTTAACCATGGTGCACTGTAGTGCACCCACCCTGCACGATACACGAAGTAAGACCAGCCTGCCAGCACAGCCTGCCAAGCAACATGGAGGAGACCCCTTTTCAAGAAGTTCTCTTGCTTCCGCTTTCACTCCTGTGTCAGAAAATGGGCAGAGCATTCCCGAGGCACTGGTGGACATTTCAGTGGCATTTTTTGACTCATCAAAGGAACCTAAGAGAGCTTAAGATGGAGCAGGAGAAGGCAGAGGAGGTGGTGTACCCAGACATGGAAGACTCACACTCGCTGATGCTGCTCAGTACACTCAGAATAGCCACTGAGGCCCCCTGTGTAGACCGGCACTTCTAGTGCAGGGCCACAAGCACAGACTGGGGGAAATCACATCATCATGCAGACCTGGGATGGCCAGCAGTGGGTCCACAACTTTCATATGAAGAAAGGGACATTCCTGGAGTTTTGTGAGCAGCTTGCCCTGACCTTCTAGCATAAAGACACATGTCTGAGGGCACCCAGGCAGACCCAGAAGCAGGTTGCTATAGCCATCTGTAACCTGGATACCCCAGATACAGCTATAGGTCCGCTGCCAACCAGACTGGCGTTGGAAAGTTGACCATAGGTAAAGTAGTGGCAAGGTTTCTGAGGTGGACCAGATCTAAGCTGGTAGTTAAGCTTAGAAGTTTTCATGCAGGTCCCCACATCTGTACCCTAAAGTTCAGAGTGGGGAAGGAGCCTTGACACCATGTCACCACTCTGAACTTTAGGGTACAGCTTAGATCTGGTCCGCTGCCACCACTCCCAATGTGCTAATTCCCTTCCCTGGGTAGCCTTGAGAGACTCTTCACCAATTCCCTGGTGAATACAGATCCAAACCCCTTGGATCTTAAAACAAGGAGAAATTAACCATCCCCCCTCCTTTCTCCCACCAACTCCTGGTGGATCAAGATCCAACCCCCTTGGATCTAAAAACAAGGAAAAATCAATCAGGTTCTTAAAAAGAAGGCTTTTAATTACAGAAAAAGGTAAAAATCATCTCTGTAAAATCAGGATGGAAAATAACTTTACAGGGTAATCAAACAAAGAGCCCAGAGGACCCCCCGCCCCCAGCCTTAGGTTCAAAGTTACAGCAAACAGAGGTAAACACCCTAGCAAAAGGTACATTTACAAGTTGAGAAAACAAAGATAAAACTAACACGCCTTGCCTGGCTGTTTACTTACAAGTTTGAAATATGAGAGACTTGTTCAGAAAGATTTGGAGAGCCTGGATTGATGTCTGGTCCCTCTCAGTCCCAAGAGCAAACCACCACCAAAACAAAGAGCACAAACAAAAGCCTTCCCCCCACCAAGATTTGAAAGTATCTTGTCCCCTTATTGGTCCTTTGGGTCAGGTGTCAGCCAGGTTACCTGAGCTTCTTAACCCTTTACAGGTAAAAGGATTTTGGAGTCTCTGGCCAGGAGGGATTTTATAGTATTGTACACAGGAAGGCTGTTACCCTTCCCTTTATAGTTATGACAACCCCAAACAGTGCATACTGAACCAAACAATAGTTCTCCTGTCTAAAGAGGCAGGAGAACCACTCAGATGAACTCTGCCCCTATGTGTGCATGGGCAAGGGAATGGAAAAAGGTCCCCACGTCATAAAGAATCATAGAATTGCAGGATTGGAAGCGACTTCGCGAGGTCATCTAGTCCAGTCCCCTGCACTCATGGCAGGGCTAAGTATTGTCTAGACTATCCCTGACAGGTGTTTGTCTAATCTGCTCTTAAAAATCTCCAATGATGGTGTGACGGGTTGGATCACAGAAACCCCCTTGGGAGCTGCCACCTAATGTACCAAGACTACCCCTGTTCCTATTTTCCCTGCCAGCTCAGGACTCCAGCACCCTGTCTTGCTAAGCCAGACACTCCCGTCTGCTCCAACACAGACCCAGTGTCTGAATTACTTGCCCCAAAGCTGCAGGTTTACCTAAAAACAGCTCACAGAAGTGTGCTTGTCTTTAGCACTCAGATGCCCAACTCCCAATGGGGTCTAAACCCAAATAAATCCATTTTACTCTGTATAAAGCTTATGCAGCGTAAACTCATAAATTGTTCACCCTCTATAACACTGATAGAGAGATAGGCACAGTTGTTTGCTCCCCCAGGTATTAATACATACTCTGAGTTAATTAATAAGTAAAAAGTGATTTTATTAAATACAGAAAGTAGGATTTAAGTGGTTCCAAGTAGTGACAGACAGAACAAAGTAAGTCACCAAGCAAAATAAAATAAAATGTGCAAATCTATGTCTAATCAAACTTAATACAGATAAGATCCTCACCAGTTCCAGAATGCTCCCTTTTACAGACTAATCTCCTTTTAGCCTGGGTCCAGCAATCATTCACACCTCCTCTAGTTACTGTCCTTTGTTCCAGTTTCCTTCAAGTATCCTCGAGGGGTGGAGAGGCTCCTTCTTTAGCCAGCTGAAGACAAAATGGAGGGGTCTCCCAGAGGTTTAAATAGACTTTCTCTTGTGGGTGGAGACCCCCTCGTCACTCTGTGTAGAATCCAGTCACAAAATGAAGATTCAGAATCACATGGGCAAGTCACATGACCATGCATGACTCAGGACTTGCAGGTAGCAGCCATTACCCACATGCTACCGTGAACGTCCTCAGGTAGATTTCTTATGTGGATTGGAGTCTTCCAAGCTCTTTTGTCTGTTAAGTGCTTCCTGATTGACCACTTAATTTGCACATTCCTTTCCCAAGAAGTGACCAAATGTTCTAACTAAGGCTACTTAGAAATCAAGCAATTATACAGCCAATGTTCATAACTTTGAACACACAAATGGTGCCTGCATACAACTAGGATGAACATAACCAGTAGATCATAACCTTTACATAGATATGTTACATGGCATATGTAGCAAAACCCTATTCCAGTTATATCATACATACATTTATGAGCACACCCCCCCATAAAGCCTTATGGTGTACATTGTCACAGATGGAGATTCCACAACCTCTCTAGGCAATTTATTCCAGTGTTTACCTACCCTGACAGAAAATTTTTCCTAATGTCCAACCTAAACCACCCTTGCTGCAATTCAAGCCCGTTGCTTCTTGTCCTATCCTCAGAGGTCAAGGCAAACAATTTTTCTCCCTCCTTATAACAATCTTTTGTGTACTTGAAAACTATCATGTCCCCTCTCAGTCTTCTCTTCTCCAGATGAAATAAACCCATTTTTTTCAATCTTCCATCATAGGTCGTGCTTTCTAAACCTTTTCTGTTGTTCTTCTCTGGACTTTCTCCAATTTGTCCACATCTTTCCGGAATGTGGCACCCAGAACTGGACACAATACTCCAGTTGAGGCCTAATCAGCACAGAGTAGAGCAGAAGAATTACTTCTCATGTTTTGCTTATAACACTCCTGGCTAATACATCCCAGAATGATGTTCGCTTTTTTTGCAACAGTGTTACACTGTGATTCATATTTAGCTTGTGATCCACTATGATCTCCAGATTCCTTTCCGCAGTACTCCATCCTAGGCAGTCATTTCCCATTTTGTATGTGTGCAACTGATTGTTCCTTCCTAAGTGGAGTACTTTGCATTTGTCCTTATTGAGTTTCATCCTATTTACTTCAGACCATTTCTCCAGTTTGCCAAGATCATTTTGAATTTTAATCCTATCCTCCAAAGCGCTTGCAACCCCTCCCAACTTGGTATAAACAAACTTTATAAATGTACTCTCTATGCCACTATCTAAATCAGTGGCTCTCAACCTTTTCAGACTGCTGTACCCTTTCAGGAGTCTGATTTGTCTTGCATACCCCCTAGTTTCACCTCATTTAAAAATTACTTGCTTACAAAATCAGAGATAAAAATACAAAAGTGTCACATCACTATTACTTAAAAATGGCTTACTTTCTCATTTTTACCATGTAATTATAAAATAAATCAACTGGAATATAAATATTGTACTTACATTTCAGTGTATAGTATATAGAGCAGTATAAACAAGTCATTGCCTGTATGAAAGTTTAGTTTGTACTGACTTCGCTAGTGCTTTTTATATAGCCTGTTGTAAAACTAGCCAAATATCTAGATGAGTTGATGTACCTCCTGGAAGACCTCTGAATACCCCAAGGGGTACACGTATTCCTGGTTGAGAACCACTGATCTAAATCATTGATGAAGATATTGAACAGAACTGGACCCAGAACTGATCCCTGTGGGACCCCACTAGATATGCCCTTTCAGCTTGACGTGTGAATCACTAATAACTACTCTCTGGGAACAGTTTTCCAACCAGTCATTCACCCACGTTACAGTAGCTCCATCTAGGGTGTATTTCCTGAGTTTGTTTATGAGGACGTCATGCGAGACAGTATCAAAAGCCTTACCAAAGTCAAGATATACCATATCTACTGCTTCCCCCATAGCCTCAAGTAACCCCTGTCAAAGAAAGCTATCAGGTTGGTTTGACATGATTTGTTCTTGACAAATCCATACTGACTGTTACTTATCATCTTATTATCTTCTAGGTGTCTGCAAACTGATTGCTTAATTATTTGCTCCATTATCTTTCCGGGTACTGAAGTTAAGTTGACTGGTCTGTAATTCCCCAGTTGTCCTTATTTCCCTTTTTACAGTTTGGCACTATATTTGCCCTTTTCCAGTCCTCTAGAATCTCTCCTGGCTTTCCATGACTTTTCAAAGATAATCATTAATGGCTTAGATATTTCCTCAGTCAGCTCCTTGAGTATTCTAGGATGTCTCTCCCATCAAGATTCCTCCTCCTGGAATGATGGACAGCCATCTTGGCCAGTGCCAAGAAGAGATGGTCAAGGAGGTCTATCCACAGACACAGGTAAAGCATGGGATGCAGCAGTGCAATGTTTACCACACTCCCTGCCTATGTTCCTCAAACCTGACATGGAGAGGCCACTAGTAGCATGAGGGCACGTTAGCCTCAGTGTAGATTTAAGCCTGTGCTTTTTCTGCCAAACCTGCCAACAAAGTTGTCAACTAGTGCCATGTGTAGTGGTGGTTTATGTGATGTAGATCCTTGTGCACAGATAACAGTACAAAGATAAGCAGCTCATTTCACACTGACCCAGTCAGTCATTTGCTTGTATTCCAATGGAATATTAATGAGATGCTGATGCTACAGGTCCCATGTTTATCAAGACAGCACCACCAATAGATAAGAGTGGCATTGTTCTGGGCATAAATCACTGATTTATGACAACATTAGGCCAGAGAGTTGGGGACCTACAAAACAAAGCAGGATAGGGCTAGGAGGTGTGACTAGGGACACATCAGAGAAGGGATTTTTCTTTTTTCTTTATTTTGGGCCTGGATCCACAAATCCTAGGCCTTATATTATTTTGCTGGGTGAATACGTACAGCAACGGAGGAAGGGGACAAAGAGGTATGAATAATCATGGTCAGCTTTTAATATTGCCTCTCCAAAGCCTTGCCAAAAGTAGTGTCACCCATTTTTGCTAAACAAAATACAGAATTTCATCAAGCTGTAGATACAGAATTTTTATTAATTCCCTTTGTAGCATGGCAGCTCCATTCTTTGCCCACATCCATTGTCATAAAGGCCCATTTATAAAAGTTACTCCTGGGAAGTTAGATTGTATATTTCATTAACTTGACTGAAAACTGGGAGGATTTTTTAATCTGTGGGCTCTCATTATTCAAAGGCCTTTACAATGTATAAGGCAACTTTCAAGGGGAGAAGAGGCCACCTTTGCAATTAATCATAAACAGCTACAAAAAAATCCAACAGATGCCAGGTGATCAACTGGCTCATCGGAAGCAAAGCAACAGGGAAAAAGTAGAAAGGAAGGCTGCATGGTCCTTGGCATGATACAATACTGGTGGACTAGTCAGTTGTTTTATACTTTATTATAGTCTTGTACCTTTCTCATGCTTGTTTAACATGCCAAGGCTGGGAAGTGAAACAAACAGTTAGCCCCAGATAGCAGCCCTCCACTTATTCAGCAGAAGAAGGGACATCTGGTATCCACCAGAGATGAGCCACCAATTGAAAGATAAAGGTTTAATGTCCCTCTTAAACAAACCCATTTTCACTCTGAAACAATGAGAATATGCAAAAAGTAGCCAAGCAGAGATACCTTTTATAAAGGAATTCCCCAGCTGCTACTGCTAGAGGTCTGTGCGTGGTATAAACAAACTGGAATAAGGTTTCACAGTCTTCAGATGATAACGCGTCCTCACAGTTCCTATGCAAAGATATAATACAAGTTATTATGCATATTTAGCTAGAAGGGATTATATGTATCCTAATATTGGACCTGAGTCTATACCTAATATTGGACCTGATTCTCCACTGCCTTGCAGTTCATATAGTCAGTTACACCTCTGCAAATTGAATCTTGATATGCTACCTAATCAGAGCAGTAGCATTTTTGTATTCACCTTGTAGAGATGGAAGTGTCTACATAACATACAAGGAATGAAGAATTAGGCTCTTTGTGCGGGCATAAACATTCACATAAAAGCGTGGGTAAGGCTGTTTGGTTCTCAGGAAAAAAAAAAAAAAATTCCCAAATTAGTTACAAAAAAGGAAAGTCATAACACAGTATTTTTAATCTTGGATTGTTTGCCACAGAAAATTATAATATAGATCAAATATCCTGTATTTTTCTAAATAAAATTGTTTAAAGCTATTTAATCAAGAGTTAAAACGGATACTCAATTACAATGAGCTTATATAGAAACCCATTTTAAAAATCACGGCAAAAGCATGCTCAATAGGAAGCTGACCAGCACACCAAAGACCACACCCTCAAATCCTAGTCCCTAGCAGTTAAATATTAAGCAGGGGTGTCTCACTGACAACTACTTGAACTAACACTGGGTAAAGGTTTGTGGCAGATTATAACCAAAAAAAAAAAAAAAAGACAAACAGCTCTTAAACTAATCTACAAACATTGGCTGTGGTTTAAAACAGTAGGAGAGTAGTGGGTTGAAAGCCCCAGGGTACTTGAACAGAGGGCATGCTGTCTGTTGGCTTTTCACTTCTGTGAGCCAACAAGGTCTCAAAAGTCATAAATTGATCGTTATGGATTATTTCCCTGTGCGCTCCTTGCTTATTTTTGCTGAAAAGTTCCCTGCTATTTTTAATGAAAGTTCTCTCTCCTGCTAGGTTGCACTCAGTAAACTTGCTTATAATGATCACTGGCACAGTAAACAGGTCTTTATAGTGAAAATGTTGATGATGTGCCAAGTAAATATTGACTGGAACTAGTCTAATAGTAATTATGCACTAAATAAATGCCAAGCCAAGTGTGGGGGGGTGACACAGAGGGGGTGGCAAATAAATATTACATTATTATTCCGCTATCTTTAGGACTGGTGAAATAGTGAAAAAATATATTTATGGATAAGTTACTCAGTGATTGATTTGAAACATTTAAAATGAACTACATACAAATATGATTTAAGCAGCTCCTGTGTGGAGTTCTGTACAGTGTATGAGCACCCAGCTATGTATCCTGTGGAGCCTGGATTACAATTTTAATTACAAGGGCTGATGTAGTTGAGTGGTATTCACCTTCCATTTACTTTTGCATCCCATATTCACGTTGAGTGGTGTCAACTGAACATACCAAATGGCACTTACAGAAGTAAGGGTTGCCCAACCAGCTTTGTATCAATAAAAGTATGGAGAACTGAATGAAATAAGCCAACTGTTTAATATAATTTTTATTCACTGTAATATCAATACAGCATAACTCCTCTATAAACGCTTCTTTTCTAGGAAGCTGTCCAATGCAAATTCTCTACCTATTTGCAACTCTTTCTCACCCTCTTTTTAAAAGCTGGGATCCAACTGAAATGGCAGTTCTAAGTGACGGTGTTGTAGTCTGGGACACCTGTGGACGGAGATGTGCACAGTTTTTGAGACGGGGCTATTTCTTGTTCTTTTCATCAGTTCTCTCTCTTCACTATATTGCAAGGTGACAGAGAGCGACAGGTATTACATTCACTGCAACAAGTCTTTCTTTTTCTAAACCCCTTTGATAGGTGAAGTGCTTGGCAATATGTGTATAGTTATAAAAAGCCTCTCTTTGGGGACAAGTTACAAGATTTCATACAAACTATTTCTAACCATGGGAGGGAAAGGCTAAAAATGGGGTGAAATCCAGTTTTGTCACTGTCTTCAAAGGGACCAGAATTTCCCCCAGGTATTTTACCCTGTACTCAGTTTTCCCCTCATTAAGGAAGTGTTAGGTACGGTGTGACCTCGGCTCCTTGTACAGAACACTCTCTGGTGGCACAGGAGATCAGCAGGGAAAAATGAGCCACCTCTACCCGATATGAGCTGCCAGGCGGGCATAACATTCTTTTTTTTTTAAATCCATTAATTAAGCAGACAGAAGATCTGAATGTGCATCTGTTCTCTCGTCTTTCACACAGTGCTCAGCAGTTGCTTACTGTAAGATGTCAAGGTTTCCACTTGAAAGATACCTGACCAGTTCAGAGACTACGTACCTCTACAGAGGGCAATACCTAGCTACACCTACTACAACCGGCGATTTTAGAAGTATTTCCTCAATAAAAGGGGTGCCTTCTTTTGTACATATAAGCCAATAATCACACATTCAAAGAATACTTTATGTAGTGCAATACTACTGCTGCAAATTTACAGCCCTTCAAATGCCAAGTGACAGATAAAGGTTAAGCCAGAAGTGCCTGCCAGTATTTAGATGCCTAAAAATAAGCATGGCTTTCCACATACCAATGCCATGATATATCATTTTCTCCTCGCTTCAGTGTGAAGAGGCAAGGAAGAAGGAAGATGGGATACGCCAGGGAGAGAGCAAAGACTCCATTTGTTCTGGATGCCAAACATTAGCTGGGAAATCTCACGTCTTCTCTTTTGTTTTACATTTCATGAGATGACCTTGGAAGCAGAAGACCCACTGCCTTCTCAACGTGAGAGGGGAGACTGAACAGGGGCTGCCTACACCATCTCATTTGTGTGCAATTTACTTATATTCCAAGATAAAAAAACCACAAGATCTAAGCAGAATTAAAATATCAGTAACATAAGGGTAAAAAAATGAAAACAAAACAAAAAAAACCTAACTTACAAGGATGTTGTAATTATCCCAAACCTAAACATTACATGCTAAGAAAATTCAGAGAAAATATTGCACTTAAGAAATCCAAGCAAGAATGAAAATGCAGAGTTAAGGTATATGAACAACCTTAATGCTGCCCCTTAGCATCACCATCCAATAAGCATGATTAAGGCACTTAAGGGTTTGTGGTCCCAGATTAGATTAAACTGATTTTTGAGGATATTAGGGCAGGTGTTTTTGTTTTCTTCATATGTTTCCCCTCTTGGCATCAATACAGGCACGGCAGTAAAGTGTCATCTGCATACACAAGACAAGAGGTGAAATCCTGGCCCCACTGAAGTCGGTGGGAGTTTTGCCATAGACTACAAATGGGACCAGGATTTCACCCAAGATCTATGTTCTGACAGGACAGGGAAGGTGTCAAATATTAGAGAGGTGCTAAAGGGCAAGGGCTTCAGCACTAAAAGCATGGGTTTGTTTTGGTTCCAGAGCACACACTGGAGCGGAAAGCAAGCTCTTTTCTCTTTTTAAGTGGTCTCAAGAAGGGGAAGAGACTAGGGCTGGCAGGCATTTTGAAGCCAGAGGTTAGCAGAGGTGCATGATGGTAGGAAGATGGCTGCAGGAGATAAGGGATAACAGAAGGAGTAATTAGTTTATGCCATCACCATCACGAAGGAGGAGAGGGGTCTTTCGCTTTTACATTGTTTTGGACAGGCTTGATTCTTCCTTCAGGGAATCTCAAAGCATTCTCATATCTCTACGTTAATGGTGTCATGGGTGCTGACTCCGTGGGTGTTCCGGGGCTGGAGCACCCATGGGGGAAAAAAAAGAAAACAGTGAGTGCTCAGCACCCACCAGCCACAGCTGTTCGCCGCCCCCACTCATCAGCTGACAGGGGCGGCAGCGGCGCCAAACAGCTATTTGGCCGCTCAGGGAGGTGCCTGGGAGAGGGCGGAGAGCGGTGGTCAGGGGCCTTGGGGAGGGGACGGAGTGGGGGCGGGAAAAGGCAGAGCAACGGCAGGACCTTGAGGAGGGGGCAAAACGAGGGCATCGCCTAAGGAGAGGGAGGCAGAGCAGAGGCAGGAAGAGGCAGAGCGAAGGCGGGACCTTGTGGGAAGAGGCAGAGTGGGAGCAGAGCCTCAGGGCAGAGCGGGGTGGAGCACCCCCGGAGAAAAGGAAAAGTTTGCGCCTGTGAATGGTGTCATCCCAACAGAATCACAGAAGAGCCATTAATTTGCATTGTACTCTGCTACTCCTCTGTCCCCTTTCACTAGTGCAGGATCTCCCTCCAAACTGTAAGCCTCAGACATCATCCATTAGAAAGAATCCAGAATGTATTGGGCTAACTTATCATAGCAGAAAGAAAGTTTTACAGACACGCACAACCCCTACATCTAATTTTAGCAATTTTAAGAAAATCAAGTAAACTTCTGGGTTCACATATCCCTAAAGGAAAGAGTCTAAGGGCAACTAACTAAGAGAGAAAGGCAGATAATTTCCTTATTTGCATACAAGGTGTCTCTCTCTTTTCCATCTCCTCTAAGTCACATGAAAATGTTTTTCACAACAGTATTTAAACAACAGATATAATCTAATAGGTACGCATAGGCTTGCTAACCAGGTGGCTTACCTGATCTTTTTAGAAATAATGCATTCACCTATCAGATCTCAATTTCTTCTTCAGAGACAATCATAGGAGTTACATATGGAAAAGCCCTACTGAATTATCTAGTTCAGTTCCCGGCCAAGGTGACATTATTTGCTATGGTATATTTACTAGAGCTTTGCCAGCTCTAATTTTGAAGTGCCTTAAATAATGAGGCTTCTACCATTTCAGTTAGAGTCAATTTCACAGTCTAACAGAGAAACAGGAAGGACAGGGATGTTTTTAAAGCACATGCGTAGGATCTCTCTACCTAATTTCTGGCTCCTGCCAAAGACTGTGTGTGAAACCAGGGATGCTTAACTTCTGAGCCTCAGCTTCCCTCTGTAAAATAAGGATAACACTACTTACCTACCTCACAGGGCTGTCGTGAGAATTACTAAATTTATTAAGCCAGTAAGGTATTTTAATTAGAAGGCACTAAGAATACAAAGTATTAATAGTTCACATTGACAAGCAGCTTTTCCTGATGCCAAACTTAAGTTTTCTCTCTGATCTTAGGCCATGTCTACGATACACAGTTTTGTCGACACAAGACAGCTACGTCGACCTAACTATGAAGGTGTACACACTGCAATTCTCCTCCCACCAGTTTAACTCGCCTGCTACTCTGACATAATAAAACCACCTCCATGAGAGGCGTAGAGTTTAGGGCGACGTTAGAGTGATGCATTGCAGTGACACTGCATTGCTTACGATGCCCTAAGTGGCCGCCAGGAGGTGTCCCACAATGCCCACCCTAGCACCCTTTTGAATTCCACTGCCCTGCAGCCAGGTACACAAGTGAACGCCCCTCCTCTGTTAAAGCCCCGGGAAGTTTTGAATTTGCTCTTGCTGTTTGCTCGGCGTGGAGAGCTCACATAGTAACTGCCCGGTTGAGCATGCCGCCTCCATGCAGCAAATACACTCCTGCCTGGAGTACACCAGAATGGTTGCATCTCCTGGGTCTGTGGGGCGAGGAGGCTGCGCAGTCACAGCTCCGCTCCAGCAGCAGGAACTTGCTCAGGGCATGGAGGAGAAGGGCTGTGATAGAGACACACAGCAATGCCATGTAAAAATCAAAGAGCTGCAGCAGGCATAGCAGGAGGCAAGGGAGGCAAGTACTAGCCTCTGGTGCGGCGCCGCAAACATGCCACTTCTACAAGGAGGGAGTTGAGGTCAGGGTGGTGGTGAATAGCCCCTCCCCCCCGTTGAGCTCCTTTTACAGCCTTGTGTTCATAACGCACAGCACTGAAGAGCAGTGCAGGATCCATGCTTTCTGACAGAGATGGCTGGCTTGCAGGTAACCAGGGCAGTTCAAAAGCAGCTGGAAACCTAGTAGGATGCCCATGGAATGATGAGATTGAGAAAACTGCATCATGAAACGCTGTACCTGCACCATGTGGCATTGCAAACCCTTCCCAAAACACCCTGTGGCCAGTTGCACAGTGGGATAGCTACCCACAGCGCACTGCTCTCTGTGCTAATGCAAGAGCTGCTACTGTGGATGCGCTCCACCAACACCAGGAGCATAGTGTGGACATGCAACAGCAGTTTAATTACAGCGGTGGTTGGATGTCAATGTAACTTAAGTCAACTTAGCTCTGTACTGTAGACATAGCCTTAGTCTCATCATTTCTAATTATAACCAGATTTGTATGAGACAAAATAATTCCCCCTCCCCCCCCCCTTCGGCAGGTCTACACTACCCGCCTGACTCGGCGGGTAGAAATCGATCTCTCAGGGATCGAATTATCGCATCTCGTCGGGACGCGACAATCGATCCCCGCATCGACGCTTCTACTCCACCAGCGGAGGTAGGAGTAAGCGCCATTGACGGGCGAGCCGCGGAGGTCGATTTGCCGCCGTCCTCACAGCGGGGTAAGTCGGCTCCGATATGTCGAATTCGGTTATGCAGAAAGCGGTATACTGGCAGCACTGAAAACTCAAACTAGTATCTGAAAAGACTTTTACGCCTCACCAGAAGTACATCTAGTTAGAACTTAGTTGACAAATTCTGCTGATGAAGAAACTAGAGGAGAATCCAGCTCCCACAGAAAAGTTGGAACGGCCTGACTAAAGGAAGTGAAGATTTTTTGGCCAAGTAAGCAAGCAACTATGACTGAACACATAGAGGAAGCAGATCGGCTGAACAAATCTAATCTTTACAGTCACTCTTTTGTTATTACTCGCTTTGAGGAATTTCACAATTCCCAACCCCACCTAGTGCGTTTCTGCATGTATTAAGCTGCAGTGCTTAAGACCAAATACTGTCTATGAGCCAAGATATGCTTCCCATGCTATCTTAGGTACAACACCCTGGGTCTTTGTCTATACTGCAAGTGAAGGTGTGACTGTAGCATGAGTAGGCATACCCGTACCACCTTAAATCTAGCTAGCGTGGATAACAAGAGTAGTGTACATGTGGTGGCATGGGCTTCAGCAGAGGCTAGTGTCCAAGTATGTACCCAGGGTCCACCCATGTATGCTCAGGTTTTTAGCCCTTGCTGAGCCTATGTCACCACATCTACACTGCTACTGTTACCCAGGCTAGCATGGGTATGCCAACCTTTGCTACAATCACACCTTCACCTGCAGTGCAGACATACATCCAAGTGCTTCTCTGCTCCTGGAATGACAGTAATCATTTCTGAAATGTCTCCCCTCCTGGAAAGGCATCTTTATACAGGCTTTTAAAGCAACCTTATCAGAGAGAGTTTAACGCAATTCTTCACCCAAAATGTTTAGACTGGCCAGTGCTAATTTTATAAGCAAAAGAGATAAGATTCTTGGTTGGCTTTGTGGATAATTCATTTCAGTCCCCAACTCCCATCTTCATCTTCCCAATAATTAAACCAAATCAGCAGGGCTCAGCGTGACTAGGAGCGCTGTTGGCTCTGCAACAGATGGAGCAGAAACAAAGACAGCAAGTATGTGGTTGCTGGACCTCTGCCATGGCTTAATCAACAAAAACATGCACTCATTTTATTTACGAGGAAATATGTTTTATGATGGACACGTGTTGTTTGGAAAACTTCTTAGGAGGAACTGCACAGTGCTGGAAATCTAATTTTAAACTTTGTTTAGACAAGGCTTTCCTAAAAAAACAGACAATCGATAAACTTTTTGACTATAGTTAGCATTCATGAGTTTAGTGAAAACATGAACCCAACAATACAGCCAGAGAGGCTAAACAGCTGCAGTGCCAATATAGCACTTGTTGGTTCAGATATAGAACAAGAGCAACCTTAACTGGTTTAAAGAGTCATTGTATTTTAACAATGGTGTGCTACTCTTCCTAGCACAGGGACATGTTATGCACATAGATGCTATAACAAAGTACAATGCAATATCTATGCAATATGGAGAAGCAAATATCATACAAAGTGGTCGTTGTGTTTATATTAGCAGTGGTAACCTATCTACTATTAGTGTTACTTAAACAATGATACTGACTGTAAAAAAGCAAGTTATATCAACAATGAACATATACAATGGGCCCAATTCTGTTCCCATATATAGGCTGGTGTCCGCCTGAAGTAATGCCACTTAAGTGGGTGGAGTGTCAAGTGAGATAATAATCACTTCCTGTGATTATAAAGCAGCACTTCAGTGCACAAGAATATTCTGGTACTGTAATGCAAACAAAGGTTCAGAAATTAAACAGTTATTATCCGAGTTGTGCAGATCTCACCTCTATGGCCTCATGTAATTGTGGGTATGTCTATCCTCGAAGCTAGGGGTGTGATTCCTAGCTCGCACAGACATACTCATGCTAGCTCTCATCAAGTTAGCGTGCTAAAAATAGCATAGCCAGGAAAGCACAGGCAGTGGTGAGGGGCAGCAGAGGCTAGCTGCCCCAAGTACAAACCAGCCTGGACCCCATGCATATGTACTCGGGTGGCTAGCCCATGCCCCTGCTCCCCACTGCCTGTGCTACCACAGCCACACTACTATTTTTAATACACTACCTCAATCAGAGCTGGCGCAAGTATGTCTACACAAGCTGCGAATCAAACCCATAGCTCCAAATGCAGACGTACCCTGAAACTGCTTGCAGGTACCAGTGTCTGTAGATAGGCAGGAACAACAGTTACTTTCACACGAATGACAAGTTGGGGGGTGAGGGGAAATACTGACAGTGGGCCTGGTGTACAGTTGTAATATAAATTTGCCTAATCACTGGACTAATGTGCCTATACAGAAGTGGTTTTAAGTATGAACAAATAAAATCCCTTTTGACTTTAAATTAATATAGATACAAAAGAGCCTTGATCACTTTATAGGAAAAAAAAAGTGCAGTCCCTTTACCAGAGTGGTATTCACTCCCTTGGGCAGAAGGCTGAGGCTTACACTGCTCTGATCAGAAACACAGCAAACGGGGAAGCAGACATGAAGAAACAGGAAAAGCAGCTTTATAAGCACATATTTACACTTGCTATTTCAGTAAGTTTCCCAGTGCAGACAAACCCTATGCAACTTCTGCATACACTGCTCATTCTGAAGACTGACCTCAGCAAGTCACAAATTCAGTCAGTCAGTCATTCAGCACTCAGGGTTTCATGTCGCTGGTTCAATCAGAGTAAGATTATTGGTCCATCAAGTTCTACATCCTTCCTCCAGCAGGGACCAATACCTTGTGCTTCAGTGGAAAAGCAAAGCCCACAAGGCACCTGGTCAACTGTGCAATGTTGTATATGGATGGAAGCCATCTCCCCCTGGCCACATGCAGGAGTCAGCTTATACCTTGAATCACCAAAGGCTTTGGCTCCTGCAGGATCTTAAAATCTGACCAGTATCTGCAGTGGGATGCAGAATCTTAATTCAAATTTTAAAAAAGTGCAAAACAAAAAGGGACAAAGAAATCTCCCTATTCCCACATTTAAAAAAATACCATTTATAAAATAAACATGATTCCCCAGAATGTGTTATAATGGGATAACCATACTTCTTAAGTACCACTCTAACTTTAGTCAGGCACTTCACTACAGACTTTTAGCTTGCAGTTATCCTGTTTAACCCATGTCCTGCAGCGGGCAATTGTTTCTGAGCGCATCATCAGTAATAAGAGGATTCCACTACTGGTTACATCTGGGACTCGTTGCCATTAAAATAATATAGAACATTTAAAAAATTATTTACTGTGACATAAGCATCAAGAGTTTCATGGCTTGAACTGCTACTTCATGGTCCTTGTCCAGAGTCATGGACACAATTCGATCCTAATGGATGTAAAACGACAATAAAAAGATGTAACACTTTTTGTTCTGGACAAATATTTATTTTGCTACAGTTAGATCATCTCCACTAGTAACAAAGAGACTTCTTTGTATTGCAATGACTATTTCCTAAGAGGCGTAAGACAATTTGCTTACCACCAACTTGTTCCATCATTATGTTACATTTTTATTTGAGTTAACTGACTAATATGAAATTTGTGTGGATGCAAGTGTGTCTCCACAAGAAACTGACTGCAGCTCACAAATTAAGAATGATTGGCCACTTGTTTGTAAATGAAGAACAATTAGTAACAATTTGCTAAATCAGGGTAACTTCTAAGCTACAATGTTACATAAATAATTTCTCTACTCAAATGTGAAAATATTCTGGAAGCCATAACCCTGCTAAAAAGGTAAGTAGATTTTGGATCATGTGGCTGTTTAACAACGTACAGCAATACTACACAGATTAGGGCAGAAGTACAGAGGGCTGCTGTAAAACTGTTTAAAATATGGGTTGAGTTTAGATAGGCAGAATTTATTTACTCAGATTGAAACTTGGCTAAAACATGAGAATTATGAGCCTCCTCTTTCAGAAAGTGCCATGGGATTTTTAGTTACTATGAAGAGCCAAGTCCTTGGTTTTACATGACATCCAAAAGACTGTATCTGCAGGCCTCAGCAGAAGAGTATTCACTAACTGGGGCATTGGTTCAGTCCTCCAAAGGAAGAGTGCCACCTATGGAGTCACAATACCACTTCCTGCAGCACCGTGGGTTTTCTTATACAAGTACTGACAAGGCCCAACCCTGGCTAGCTAGTGACAGTGGATGACATCACAACCAAAGGTAACATTAAAAAGTAGAGTGCTGACTGCCTGAACTAGCCTGTACATGGCAACATGATCAGTGCAGTGTACTAGGGACACAATGGCCTCTGCTCAGCTCACCCAACAGATGCTCAAAAGCTGTCCATTTACCGCCTAGCATTTGACTTGTTCAGACTGGGGATAGGAAATCTTTCTGCAAGGTTCACAGAGTCATGCTGGATCAACACATAGTCATACTGTACATTCTGATAGCAGTCTATGCAGAATCACCCAATTCAACATTAACATACAAACCCAGTTTTGAGGGGGATAAAGGAACACAAGGGGCTTTGGGATGCCCAATACTCCTTGCCAAAAGAATCCTGGCCAAGTGGCTGGACATGGCTGTCTGCAGAGCCTGCCAAACACAGCTTTGTTCGTTGGCCAAAGCAAAAACAGAATGTTCTCATGAATGAAGAGCAACATCCCACAAACTCCCCCACCCAACAATCCTGACCCATATAAGGGACCGAGAGCCAACTCTGCTCAACATATCAGATCCTGTGTGGCTAGCCAAACCAGATTTTAAAAATAGAGAATAGTATTTCCATTTACCTTGAATCTGCTAGTAAAGAGATCCATTTTGGATACCAGCTCTTTTCTGTCATAAATTCCTTGCAGTCCCAGAAGACACTTCAACCGCACTTCAGGTTGCTATAAGACAAAGAAGAATCTGCTAAGTGACAAATCTTTGGCATTGATGTTATTTACTGATGATTTGGTGGTCATCCTATGGTAATTGGAGCCCTATAAATGCCTACGATAGAAAAAGCAAAAACTGCCTCAATCTCCATTACCAGACAGATATATAGTTATGTCACATATGCCTAATAGCATACAATGGGCCAAACTGAGAGGTGATCTCTAAGCTCATGTTACACTCCCACAGAACTTACAACTAATTACCAGTGGGAGTGCAAGGAGTCCACGATCATGTAATTCCAATGCCCAGGGTGTCAGAAGGTGAAAGTTGGGGGTGGCCTTCTTATATCCTTCTGCTATTTCTTTTTCTTGCAACACTTTCCTCAGATACGAGTTAAACCAACTTAGAGTCTCTTACAGCCCCAAGACTCAGTGGGCCAAATTCAGAGATAAAACGTAAGCATGTTATACAATACTAAACTAGTCTAAGTCTAAGTCAGTGTGAGGGAGTTTGGGTTGACGCTGGGGCACCCAGTGAAGGTTTTATGTTACACCATCTAGACTCCCTCATGCCAAGTCTACATTGAGAAATTACGTCAGATAAAAACACTCACAGTAGCCAAGGGCTGTCCTGTTTGACACTCACATCGACTGGCTGTGACTAATCCTAGAATCCCCTCTATTCCCTCCTAGGGTATATTCCCACAACCTGCTGACATGTTGGTAAACACAACAGTCCTTACCTACCCTGAGTGTTAAGACACGTCTGAGCTCATGTTGGTTAAAATGTGTTCTAACATGATACAATTTTCCAGTGTAGACAAGTCCTCAGGCTCCCTTCTGTGTTTGGCTAACAAATATAGTTGGTTTATACCAAAAATATTTATGGGTTTTATAAAGATTTACCTCATTTGTTTCTCTGTAAGCCAATACTACTATTCACAATGGTTCTATAAAAAGAGTGCCCTTTTCCTAGACTTTGAAATGCCTCAAGTGTAATGCTGCAACTTTAAAAGGTCAAAACCTTTAAGAATTATTAAAAGACAGTCATTCTGGGGCTCTAAAGCAGAACTCACTGAGCTCTGCTGAACTCTCGTGGCAAAGGGTATCTGCAGAGCCCCTGCAACAAATTACAGCCTTGTATTCACTATCATCTCCTTCATACTCTTTTTTTCTCATTTCTCCCTCTAACATGGCAGGAAAATAAAAGAAACCCAAGCAGTGCAGATCTCCTACAAAGAGGCTATCCATTACTGCAAACTTCCCATTCTCCTGCTTAAGACGGAACGCAAACGATGCCATGCAGCAGCAGGCTTTGACTAATGAGTCTGTGTACGGTGCTCTTTAGTTAGAAATATAAAATGAAAGATCACCAAAGAATACGGACACTGATTTTCAAGTTGTCTAATTTATCCTTCTGTACCTTCACATTCATCAGGCACATTTCTTGAACTTTGCTCATCTCTTTAAAATTTAAGGCCCTATTTCCCCAGGTGGACTGCTGCACTTGTTGAAGCTTCTTGCAGGATGAGAGCTCAAACTTGTTACTTACCGCTGACTACTACCTGGCATACCACAGACAAGAGCAGTGCAAACTTATAAACACACTCAGCAAAACCACTGTACCTCAATCCTGGCTTGAGCCACCCCACCCCACACTATTCCATTCCTGGGCTGTAATCCTGAATAGAGACTACATCTGTGCTAAATTTAAGTTGTGCTGGTTGTGTCAAATGGTCAGATATCGACTGGAGCAGAGGAAAATCATCGTCATTTGTACTTGTCACTCAGGCAATATTTGAGCATAGGTCTGCAGATAGGAAAAGTTAATTCCTAAAATCATACCACCTGCCTTTCCTACTCTCCCTTCCCACCTCAAATCTCTCAGTCTTAACCCTATATGTATTTTATGTGTTAAGGAAACTACATCTAGGGACTAAGAGTGTACAATCCATTTACCTCCACTACCATTATTTTTATCGTCTTCTTTACATTTCTCGCCTTTGTTTTAAGCCACATTTCCTGCCCTATTTTCCTGTTCCTTAGAGTGAGTGTTTACCCATCCCCCACTGCTTTTTCCATTATTTAAAATTCTTCCCAAATGACCTCAGCAGCTTTTTGCTACAAATAAAGCCCTCTTTTCTTTTCCCTCACCAGAATCACCATTCTAGTCTCTCTGATTCTGCAACAGGAACTTACGGTAGTTTACAATACTGCTGATCTGTGAAAAGAACCCAGCTCACTCTCCCCACAGCACTGCCAAAGTAAAACACTTTTATTTTCAGAGAAGTCAGAGAATAGGACTCGGAATACATGCAGAAAGTAGATATATTGAATAAGAAGATGCTAGTTTTACAGAGACACTGTTGCAGGATATACATGTGAACTGTCATGACATCTGGGGGGCAGTTTCCATAGAAGGATGGTCAAACCGCACAGATGTCCTGTCACGGACTTCTCAAACTAATTTGAAATTAGACAGCAGAAGGATGATCTTGTGGTTAGCTCCCAGGACCTGATGTCAGGAGGAGATCTGGGCTCTTTTCCCACCTCTACCATGTTTTCCTTGAAAAGCTGCAAGAGAATCATTTCATCTCTGTGCTTCAGCTTCCTCCTCAGTACACGGGGAATCTACCTACTTAGCACTTCTCTAGCATCTTACAGTAGTGGATCTCAAATTAGTTTTGCAAGGCTCACAAGACTGGTTTTATTCTTGAATCTTTTCTTCTGCAATGTGAACACATTTTGTTCCAAGAGAGATTAGATTTTTGTAATGTTTTTTTTCTAATGAAAATGCTACATTCTAGAAATAAAAGCGTCACACAACTCCCTACACAACTCAAAAGCGAGGCTGACACATGTGGATGTCCCAAGCGTGTGTGTATGTAGTACACCTTTTATTTTCCTCAGAAAATGAGTAATCCTTTCTACTCCTTTCACCTACCCCACCTCTGCTCATCTCAATTTTTCTGCCTCCATCCCTCTCACCTCCCAGAGGATTTTTTTTTCCCTGACCCTTTCTTTTCTTCCACATCTAATTGCTCAGATCAATACGTAGGTAGCCAAACATCCACTGTAGGCATCAAAGTGCCACTCTGAGTGTCAAAATGCACAATTAGGTGCCCAAGTTTGAGAAATGGGCTGATAGTTCTTTAGGAAGGGGGTTAACTGTATAGTTATTGAATGCTGTTGCCAGATTTTGCATTATACTTTGTATTTAGTATTAAAAAGCAACATTTATTCCGGTCTTCTAGAAATAATTAACTACTGAAGTTGTTCCAGCAGAAAAGTACACCTTCGGGACATTGTTTCACAATTCTTACTGGGACATAGACAGACTTTTCATTTTTTTATTTTGAACTCAGCACCACTAAGAGGAATGGATTTGGAGCATCCAGTTGGGCCTGGGAAATACCTTCTATGCCAGCATTAAGTCTGCATTATACATATATGTCATGTCAAATGGCATCAGAAGGGTAAAATAAGTCATAACATTCAACTAAGTCTTTGAAGACCAAATAAGCGTTTAAACCTTTTTTTTTTTCAGCCTCCCAATGACTGACTCAGTTTGGTCTATACTTAGAATGCCACAGGTTATTTGGGCTACATTTTCCTATAGTTGAAAACAATTTTGTGGTTGCTCAAATTTGGGCCCTAAAATTATTTGGCAAATGTCTCTGGAACTATATTCCCAAATGACACTGATCTGGGTACACCCTCCCCCACAAAAATGGGAAGGAATAGCTTGCAGTATGTTTTTTAAAGCCAGTACCGCAATGCAATATTGGTATTGTAAATAGTCAACTGGATGGAGATAAAATCCAGAGGCCTTCTCATTTTATCTCACTTAGTTTTTGCTGGAGTGATTGCTTCCAGTTAACAAGCATTTTCTTTTCTTTCTTTTTTTTTAAAGCAGCTGTTTCCAGTCTCCGGTAAAAGACAGCAGATGGGTTGTGTGCTCTAGCCAAAGACATCAAATTTCTATAATTTTCATATTGTACTGCACTGATAGCAATGTCACATATTCTAAGGAAAAAATGGAAATTTTATTTTTGTAATTTGAAAGATCTCTCAACTGGCCATACCTTAAAAAGTTGCTATGATCTGATCTAAGAAACTTCTCTAGACTCTATGGCTACACCTACACTACATACCACTTTCAGTGCCCTGTAGCACACATCTAGCTACACGCCACAGTGGAAAATGTCCACACTGCAGTGTGTTGCTACACGTCAAAGGAAGGCTCCAGCAGAGGGGAGGCAGCAGGGAAAGGCTTCAGCTGCTCCCCGCTGCCAGAGCCTTTCACTACGGTGAGGAAAGGCTTTGGTGGGGGGAGGCGATGAGGAAAGGCTGAGCCTTTTCCCCACTGCCCCCCTGCCTCTCCGTGGAGCAGGGCTTCAGCAGCAGGGAGCTGACATAGCCTTTCCCCCCTACCAGAGTCTTTTGCTGAGAAGGAGAAAGGCTGCAGCAGCAGGACACTACTCTGCTAAAAAAGCAGTGTAAATGGAAGGCACAGCTTGGGCCAGTAGCAAACGTGTAGGACACGTACTCGGCTTCATACCCACACCCACACCCTTCAGGCACGTCTTTATTCTACTGATTTATTCCATGTCTCACCATTTACTCACTCTGCTGTGTATATCCATGGGAGAGGGGTCATGTGGGTATGTATACTACATGCTGCCAAAAGAATCCTGCAACTTAAATGCGCCCTAAAAGTCTTTGTGGGAGAGGGGGTTGTTATTGAAAGACGTTTAACCACTGCTTGTATAGTTATAGCATGAAACACAAACAACGTGATTTGTGCGCCCTCTGCTGGCTTTGCAGTTAACTAAAATTCTATTCAAAGAATTATGCGTCATCGTATATAATCCTGATGCAAAAGAAAAGCATTTATTTGGCATTTATACAGCAGCTATATAAACTCATTTTATCTATTTTAAAAGATGCCCTACAAAAGTAAAGTACCATTCCCAGTAATAAACCATTCACACAAATACTGCCTCTGCCGGCTATTAAGCACACACTGGTAAATTTGAGAAAAATACGTTTACAGGTTAACTTTATAAAAAGTTAGACATACTACGTTCATCTGTGCTCTAAAACAGGAAAACTGCTAAACAGAAGAGGACAAAAGCCTTGAGGGTGAGGGGGAAAGAAAAGATTATTTGGAAGATTTTAAGAATATAAGAGGTAATTAAAAGAAATGGAACTATAACAAAATAGTTGAGATTTTAAATAATATTCTCCAAATGTTCTTATAGCGCCACTTGTTTTCCAGTTCAGAAATAAAGAGTATTATTGTCCCTCTCTATGAAATAATATAATTTAACAAAGTAACAATTGTCAATCTTAAGATATTTTACCCTACCTCTAAAATTGTACATACTCAGAGAGGATGTATTCCATGTCACCATTTAGCAAGGATAGGTTTCAAAGTCAATCTACCCAATAAAGTAAAACATTGCTCGAGGTCACATACATATACATCCAGCATAGCTCTACATACACACACCATGGATCAGTGCCACACAGCTTTGTGCTTAGGATGGATAAAAGTAAGTGCTCTCTATTACTTAGTGCTGTAAGATGAGTTTTAAAACAAAACATAGTATTGGAGGAGGGGAGACTTTTTGTCCATGTAAGAATATACAACTCTAAATTGTTTTAACTTTTAGAATAATTTTTAAAATCTTGAACTAACTTTCCTTCTATGGGAGATAAAGGCAGGAGGAGGAGAAAATCCTCACCTTATCATACAGCATCCATCCAATATATTTCAAGTAACTATCATTTAAGAATGTATCAGGGTACATTTTCATCCAGCTGCCAATTTCTTCAATGCAGATAGCCCGGATCTCAGGAATCACATCACTGTAAAATTACAAAACTGTGTTATAAACACATTTATAAATACCCAAAAGATATCAGGTTAATTATTTGCTTTTCCCAGCAGGAGATCAAGAGTTGCAGATATACATGCAATCCTGAGTAGCATCGTAAGTATTCATTCAGTAACTTTTAAACATGTCTTTAATCTACAAATCCCCTACAAAGAATTTGTTAGTGTTTGAAAAAACCCTGTTAACTACACAAGTTCCATATTACAATTATTTTGAGGGTCTGGAAGGTCTTTCAACCATAAACTCATTACTCTGTAGCCAGGGGGAAGAAGCAAACAAAGCAGTGGAGAATGAGGGTACATAATGAGGGGGTTACTTTCTAAGCCTAGGTGGGTTCTTTCAAATAATTCAGTATTATGTGCTTTTTCAGAACAAATTTAACTGACCCTTGGATATTCATCTTGATTTTAACCTGGACACTTTGCATGAGAGTTTCTTATGGGATGCATGTACACTGTACAGACTTATTTTTTATTCCTTTCTATTCTTTTTCAGTGAGGGAAGTTAGATTTTCAACTCATCAGGGAAGGGACAGTTGGCGCCTATGTGTTAGTACAATATGCAGCACACCGGAGTCCAGTCTTGATTAAGGCCTGTGGGTGCTATTTCAAAAGCATATGAATGATAAATATTCTTACCGATATCTCTGTAAGAATGTCCCTTTGAAAATAGCATTCATCATATTCTCTATTTCCAGCGGTTTCTGTTCATACTGAAAATACCAAAAAAATTGAACCTTCCAAGTATGGAATATGACAAATCCCCTTTATATTACAGGAAATTCATACCAAGTTAACCACATTCACTTCGTTAAACTGGGTGCAAACCCCTAATGTTTTCACAATTCATCAGTACAAAAAAATGAGCCTGTCTACATTAGGGATTTGATTTGGCGCATCTACATCAAAAAGAAATGTCATTGGATTTCAACTATGAATCCAAGTACTAAGACACTTCACATAATATATTGGTTGAGGAAAAGAACCTTGTTCTAGCAATACACAGAAGGAATAATACATGCCATTACACAACTAGTTTGCATGTGTAAGTCTAAGTTGCCTTTGTAATACACTTGGACATGTTGTAGAAGAAAAGTCAGAAGCTGGGAAACCCCCAGAATACCTCTGGATGAAGTAGTCCAGTGTGCACCTTGACCAAGCCCTGAAAACTTGGTAGAGGTCTTCAGAGACAATAGATCATTTAAGTCATAATCTATCATTTCTGTTTAATAAAGATACCATGAAGGTGACAAGTAACTTCCCATCCCACCCCCCCTCCCCCGGCCCTCTGATTTGCCCAAGAGACCAGGATCAGGAAGCGAACACTTGCCCTGGTCTGTCTCTCCTGTCCTACCCAGCCACCTTTCACAATTTGCCTCTTCTTACAAATACAACAACTGTACCCATGAGGGAGTTCAAAGATTACATCCGAGGTACTTGGTTGCAAGCTCAGTGGGGCAGGGACTCTCTCTCACATTTGTGCAGCAAGAAACTATGCCAGCAACTAAAAGATAATTTTCCATGGTGCAGGATGCTGCATAGACAGTAGGAGAGTCACAAGAGGCTGTCTGGGTGACAGGGAAGGAATAATGGAGTCTGGGCAGCAGGGGACAGATGAGCCATAGTTTAAATTGCCGTCACATGGCATTTTAAGAATCCTTTGTTCATACAGTGACAAATTCCAATATCTTTGGTCAAATTCCAGAGTACAATCTGAGCAAAGACCAAAGAATTTGGCTCATGGTTTGTGGGAGCCCAGTTTTGTGTGTGCATGCATGTGTATGAATAGACACGAAAAAATTACCAGATGGGCACAAAAGAGATGCCAATTCACCAGCTAGCCACATCCCCAATTTTGAGAGGCTATCATCAAAACAGAGACTTCAAAGAATACTACGCACTCTACTGCTGCATAATGACTACAGCAAGTAGTAATACGCAGATCAGTTGTGTGCGGCATGTCTGGAGTGCTTGTCAGTGTAGCACTGAACCTGGTAAGTGAGAACTGCTTTGCAATCTATCATTGATGATGCTTAGCAAATATCACTCCCCCTATTTCAAAAGTGTCAGAAAAACATGTGTAAGTCAGCAGCCAGAAAAGAGCCACCTCTATTACTACATCTTCACCCAACCCAAATAACAAACCTGACCCACCTCTTTCCTTTTTCTCTCTAATTGGTCCAGTCTCTGATTGGCCCTCTTGACAGAAATCCTGTTCTTCTCCACTTGATACAGCCTTTGAGCGTTACATTTGCTGACATCAAGATTTAGATTTACTCTTACAAGTGCTGTCAGAAGCTTCACCGCTGAAAAGGAAGAGAAACCAAGTAAGTAAGCCTTAGCTCAGTGGTACACATTATAAAGTATATTCAACATGTTAAAAAACACAAGTGTACTGGTCAACCCCAACCCTGCTGAGGTTGTAAAATCACAATCCAAGGTAAGAGCAGCAAAAAGGCAGATGTTGGGGTAATATTTCATTTAAATTTACTACTTGGTTTTGAAACAAAAGGGTTGTCAGAAGATGTTTTATTCTACTCCTGGTGATACACTTCTTTGGTCCAGGTGATGCTGCATGTTGCAGATTTCCTCCTTAATTTTGGACAACAATCTAGAGCTATAGGATAAGTGCCTTCCTCAGATGTGAAGAAATATAGTGAAATCAGTGCAAGAGCTCAAGACCACGTGAGCCAGAGTCTGGTGGTCTTTATGAAACAGTACAAAGTGTGTCTACTTTTGTTGATTCAGACCAACAGCTAGATTTCCATTTGTCAGTGGGCAGGGATGGCAAAGGCAAAAAAAGGGGGGGAGGGGCTGTGCTGTGACCAATTGTTGGCTTTTTTAAAAGTATAAACTCACTTAGATACTGTCATGCTGTGCGTGATAAGCAAGCTACAAAGGTATTCATTTTAGTAGGGGTATCATAAAAAACCTCTTGAATGACATGTTTCTTAGGACAGGCCTCATAAGTTTTAAGATCCTCCCTTTTATATTAATTATATTCATTCAGTGGGGGTGGAAGGAAAATTAGTGACAGAAAACTAACAGTGAAAAGCAGCTACTGCTTATGCATAACTTCCAGTACATAGCAGAATTCTGAAGTTAATTATCTCAGCTGTTACAAAAGATTTTGCTAAATATTAAAATGTAACTGATCTACTTTACAGATAATCTACATTCCAAGCTTCCTCTTCAAACAAGAATTTTGGGGTGCCAGAGATACTCTTGAACGTATTTTAAATATCTGTGCTTTTCTTAAAGCCAACAGGGTACCTACCATGTCCAATGCTTCCAAATTACATGCTAGTATATAGGCTTGTTTGTTAGACTTGGATAGAATTTTGGGTTTGACCTTTAATACTCTTACATTTTATACTAATATGTGTAAACAAAGGACAAAGACTGTGTATGTTGCTTTTACCTAGTCAGATGGGTTTGTTAGTACAATGGGAGCAGATAAGAGCAGTTAAAGTGTTACTCGAGAGCACACTTTAAGATTGTTTAAATCCCTATTTTAAGGCAAGGTTACGCAACCAGTCAGGAGGGGCAAAGGGGATTGGGGGGGAAGGTATAAAACACTAAAAGACAAAAGAAATACCTGTCCCTGACCGTAGCACAACCTCACTCCTCACCCCTCCCATGGGAAACAAAAGAGGTGGGACGAAGACCACAGACCCGCGACCCCCCCCCAAAAATGGCACATTACCATAAATTGTAAGGGGTGGACTGTGGGCATGCACTGCAAGTATATTTGGGCCTGCTAAGGAGGAGGAGGTGGGAATAGGGAATGGGAATGAGACACAGGCAAGGATCTACAGCGTCAGAGCTGGGAAGGGGGACATGGGGTAAATGCTCTGCGGTGTCAGAGCTGGGAATGGAACACTAGGAAACAGACACTGCCGGCGTGTAACGTTATGGATATGCTTGCTTGGAACTAACCCCAATAAACATCGCATTGCCTGCACCTCGGACTTCTCGTCTTCTGCTTTCTGTCTGTGTGACAACTACCAAGGGAGAGGGTGAAGGGAAAGCCCTCTAACACCACATATATGCAGAAGGAGATTATTAATACTACCGTAGCATCCATAACGTGCTAAGCACTGTTAATGTACAAAGGAAGACAATTCCTGCCTTGCAAAGCTTACAGTCCTTTTTACGTTTGATCAGTTTTGTAAACACACGAGTCACCAAAATCCACAGTCTCTGATGAAAACTGACAGCAACATGAGTTGTATTTACCTGCTAAAGTGCTGGTGTGCCTGAATGCTCTGACCCTGGAGTCTGCTAGCCCTGTAAGCAGTGAGATGACTGTGTCCATCAAGTAACTATCATAGAGGATGCTGTACTGGCACTGCTGGATTAACACTGCAGTGAACTCACAGAAATTGGCCTTGAACTTCTTCCAGTAGGGTCCCGGTTTGATGAGTGGATAGTCTCCATTGTCCTTTATTAGAAGGAAAAAATAATTATAAAAACTGAATGTCTCATTTACTTTTCATTTGTGCTATTTGTTTACTACCTGCATTTCTCCCACCTGAAATAGTGAAGAAACATGTCCAATTTCAGTTTGGTTTCAAGTGAGATTCTCATCAGTGCCACATGGAGGTACTCATGTTCTAGAAAGTCCTGATGCTAACCTTTACCACCATCAATGGGCTGCAGCCTGACCATATTAGAACTCACTGTGACATTCCCCAGAATGCAGTCTGAACTGCTGGACTTCTGTGTCCATTTAGCTCTCCAGACTGGGATGCCTTTTACACTGCTTTGCTGGTGAACAGCAACCCCTCCAGGCTCTGCTCACACATACCCACTCACATGTAAAATCACTCCCAGATGAATACAGGAAAGCCCAGTCCCAGCCTTGATTCCCCAAAATGTGTCTTGTACTGCTCAGTAGCCTCCTGGGCAGTACAAGCTCATAGATAGTTTGTCATTCCAACACTGGGTAATGATTATGCACCAACCTTGTTGACCTAAATAGAAATTTCAAAACACTTCAACCAAAACACACTGGTTTAGATAAAACAATAAAACAAGTTTATTAACTAGAGAAAGAGATTTTAAGCGATTACACTGGTCTACAATTTTTGAGAAGTCGTCTGCTTCAGAGATAAAATTTGCTATTTATTATGTATTTTGATGTGCTGAATTCAAATATGACAATTAAAACAACTGATTGGCTACTGTTTCTAAGATATTTAAGTTTTTACATTTTATGTCTATGTATATTGTGTAGATAGTAGAGTTTTAACCATAAATTGTAAACCTAGGTCTTTTCATGTGTTTATGGTTGCTTTACATGATAATATTTCACCTGTCCTGTTTATGTAACACTTTAAAAATCAGCAAAAGGGTTATATAAATAAAATTTATTATGAAACAAACGGCAAAAAACTATTATGTACATAGTTTAGTCCTATTCAGTGTCTACTCGGCGCTTCTTGGCTTGTCTCTTGTATTCATTAAATGGAGCATCTCTTGTCACTGTCCAGCAATAGTCTGCAAGCATTGATGGGCTCCATTTGCCCTGATAGCGTTTCTCCATTGTTGCAATGTCCTGGTGAAATCGCTCGCCATGCTCGTCGCTCACTCCTCCGCAGTTCGGTGGAAAAAAATCTAGATGAGAGTGCAAAAAATGTATCTTTAGTGACATGTTGCAACCAAGGCTTTTGTATGCCTTGAGGAGGTTTTCCACCAACAACCTGTAGTTGTCTGCCTTGTTGTTTCCGAGAAAATTTATTGCCACTAACTGGAAGGCTTTCCATGCCGTCTTTTCCTTGCCACGCAGTGCATGGTCAAATGCATCATCTCGAAGAAGTTCACGAATCTGAGGACCAACAAAGACACCTTCCTTTATCTTAGCTTCACTTAACCTTGGAAATTTTCCACGGAGGTACTTGAAAGCTGCTTGTGTTTTGTCAATGGCCTTGACAAAGTTCTTCATCAGACCCAGCTTGATGTGTAAGGGTGGTAACAAAATCTTCCTTGATTCAACAAGTGGTGGATGCTGAACACTTTTCCTCCCAGACTCCAATGACTGTCGGAGTGGCCAATCTTTCTTGATGTAGTGGGAATCTCTTGCACGACTATCCCATTCGCAGAGAAAACAGCAGTACTTTGTGTATCCAGTCTGCAGACCAAGCAAGAGAGCAACAACCTTCAAATTGCCACAAAGCTGCCACTGATGTTGGTCATAGTTTATGCACCTCAAAAGTTGTTTCATGTTGTCATAGGTTTCCTTCATATGGACTGCATGACCAACTGGAATTGATGGCAAAACATTGCCATTATGCAGTAAAACAGCTTTAAGACTTGTCTTCGATGAATCAGTGAACAGTCTCCACTCATCTGGATCGTGAACGATGTTGAGGGCTGCCATCACACCATCGATGTTGTTGCAGGCTACAAGATCACCTTCCATGAAGAAGAATGGGACAAGATCCTTTTGACGGTCACGGAACATGGAAACCCTAGCATCACCTGCCAGGAGATTCCACTGCTGTAGTCTGGAGCCCATCAGCTCTGCCTTACTCTTGGGTAGTTCCAAATCCCTGACAAGGTCATTCAGTTCACCTTGTGTTATGAGGTGTGGTTCAGAGGAGGAGGATGGGAGAAAATGTGGGTCCTGTGACATTGATGGTTCAGGACCAGAAGTTTCATCCTCTTCCTCTTCCTCGTCTGACTCGAGTGAGAATGATTCTGGTGCATCAGGAACCAGCAGTCCTTCTCCGTGGGGTACTGGACGTATAGCTGATGGAATGTTTGGATAATGCACAGTCCACTTTTTCTTCTTTGACACACCTTTCCCAACTGGAGGCACCATGCAGAAGTAACAATTGCTGGTATGATCTGTTGGCTCTCTCCAAATCATTGGCACTGCAAAAGGCATAGATTTCCTTTTCCTGTTCAACCACTGGCGAAGATTTGTTGCACAAGTGTTGCAGCATATGTGTGGGGCCCACCTCTTGTCCTGATCTCCAATTTTGCAGCCAAAATAAAGGTGATAGGCTTTCTTAACCATAGTGGTTATACTGCGCTTTTGTGATGCAAAAGTCACTTCACCAGTTATCTGCACTGTTCACACAAGTACGCGGCATCTCTGCTCACTTTGGCTAAACAGAAATGTGTCCCTTTGCAAAATCAAACACTGACAAATAAGAGAGCACGACACTGTATGATTTCTAGAGCTGATATAGGGCAATTTGTTCAGCAGAGTGATGTAAGCTTCGTTAAGATTGCATCATCCATGACTTCTAGGAATAACATGATGCAATTCATATCATGTATGACGCAATACCAGCTTCAGATTGTATCATTCATTGTTTTGCCTAAAAAGCAAGTACTGTCCAAACCCAGTCATAGATTTATTCATAGATCCAGTCAAAGATGTATTTTAGTCATTTCTGGTTTAAATTGAGATCCCTTCCCTTTATAACTCACTTATCCTCCGCCATTCCCAAGTCAAGGGTCGTATATACTGACCCAATAGCATATCTTGAAAACTAGAGTCAATCAACAATTTTAAGCATCATTTTCGTTCTCAGTGACCCAGAATTAGTAAAGTTTGACTACATTTATTTCAGAAGCATTTTGGCTGTAGAGCAGTGTTACAAGTGATAAGGCCTAGAAGTCAGAATTGGTTACAAAAGAAATAAAAGAATAAACACACAATAAAATTCCTAAACGTTACCAAGGCTAACAGGTTTAAAGGCAAAAAAGGAATTTCTCTCACCAAAAGCTTACAGCAGTCTATAATGGCTAAAAAAAACCCCGGCCAGAACCACTCCCCCAGTTCAATGATGCTTCTTTTGTCTTTCAAGTGATCTAGCTACCACCGTCGAGATGGAGGGGAAGAGGTGATGTGGAGGTCACTGTCTCTTATTTTTATATCCTCCTCTCTTTAAGGATTTACCCCCTTCCCCCCCGCCCCCCGGAGTGTAGACAGGGTGTCACATTCACTTCTTCCCACAATCCAGTAGATAGCTGCAGTCAAGAGGGACACTGTGGCTAATTGAGAGTAAAACTCACAGGGGCGTGGCAATCTATTAAGGAACTCTACCATTGCAGAGCAGAGAAACACAAATCATGCCATGGTTAGGATACAATGTAAGACTTTCTGCATACAGTGCATGCAAGCCTTCGTTGAACACCCATCTTTCCTGGAGACATAACAAGCAAACCAATTCTAAGAAAGAGGCACAGATGATGGAGGGCCTGGTCCTTTGGGATGGAATTGCTAATATCGGTGTACACCTCACTATGGTGATGGGCACATTACAACAACATATATAGCACGATGCTGCAAGCTATTTCTGATATCAAACATCGAAGATAAATAGTTTTTGTTTTTATACATCCTACTGCAATTTTCTTTTTAAAGTTGCAGAAATCTCTATTAGTCTTCAATTTTGTAAAGGATTATTTTAATGAAACCTAAACTTTGAGCCAAATTTCACTTGACACTGGCCCTTCCAAAATATTATCTAAAGAAAATAATTTTTTTAAGGGTGCGCATGGGGAGAACACACACATAAGGAAAGCCAAGTAGTCTAGTGGGGTGATGGAAGAAAGCACAGTTGGATACTGTTCTAGATCGACACATTCCATTCAAACAGATGTTTGAACACCATATGCCTACTGTATCTCACATAGGGCTCAATCCTGCAAGGTAATGAGCATTTTCAACTCTTGTAAAGCCATTGTGTGCTCAGGTTCTTGATAAATGGGGTCCATCATACATCAAGAACATTTATTTATTTAAAGCAATGCTAGTCACACAGCCAACACTACTGCACTTGATTTTCACCACTGTACCATTGGACTGCACCATTAAGTACAATTTTCACATATATGCAGCATTTGAAATCTTTACTTCCAGGATATTCAAGAAATGCAGCTATTTACCATGTCCACTGGCCAAGTAACAGTCAGAATCCAGGGATAGGCCATAAATTTCTTGTATTGCAATCCTGTTTCCTAGAATGCAAGAGACAACATTATAAAAGCTTTTGATGAAACCGAAGAAGTGATTCTGAAAGATTTTACATACATAAAAGTACCAATTGTGTATCATGTTTTAAGATGTCATTTAAACTTGAGACTGTATACATCTCACAGACATGCACACAATCTAATCCCCTTTTATTTGGCTTGTTTTTAGCTAAAACCAATGTGTACTTCAGTAAAAGACATATGCAGTTTTTATTTAAAAACTGGTACTCTTGTAATAACAAGTAGTCAGTGCCAAGTTTCATTTAAACATCATGTACTGAAGCGTGCAAGCTATAATCTTTACTGTTTATTCTGAGAGACAGCATCTGCTTCTCCCTTAGAAATTTAAATATGTATCAATCTGCAACATTCAGTTATTTGAGTCAACAGTGTGCTCTTGTTGCCAAGAAGGCTAACGGCATTTTGGGCTGTATAAGTAGGGGCATTGCCAGCAGATCGAGGGACGTGATCGTTCCCCTTTATTCGACATTGGTGAGGCCTCATCTGGAGTACTGTGTCCAGTTTTGGGCCCCACACTACAAGAAGGATGTGGAAAAATTGGAAAGAGTCCAGCGGAGGGCAACAAAAATGATTAGGGGTCTGGAGCGCATGACTTATGAGGAGAGGCTGAGGGAACTGGGATTGTTTAGTCTCCAGAAGAAAAGAATGAGGGGGGATTTGATAGCAGCCTTCAACTACCTGAAGGGGGGTTCCAAAGAGGATGGAACTCGGCTGTTCTCAATGGTGGCAGATGACAGAACAAGGAGCAATGGTCTCAAGTTGCAGTGGGGGAGGTCTAGGTTGGATATTAGGAAACACTATTTCACTAGGAGGGTGGTGAAGCACTGGAATGCGTTACCTAGGGAGGTGGTGGAATCTCCTTCCTTGGAGGTTTTTAAGGCACGGCTTGACAAAGCCCTGGCTGGGATGATTTAGTTGGGAATTGGTCCTGCTTTGAGCAGGGGGTTGGACTAGATGACCTCCTGAGGTCCCTTCCAACCCTGATATTCTATGATTCTATGATTTGCTATTGTGAAATAGCTGACCCCCAGGAAATGTCCCAATTCAAGGGTAGGCAAATATGTTCACGTTTTCAAGTCAGGGCAAGCCATATTTCAAAAACCTAACAGCTTAATCAGTCAATCCAAGTTTCACATGAATTTAGGCATTCTTTGGGGATTATCATCTTTAAAAATATAGCTAAATTATATTTTGAAAATTCACCACACTCTGGATTCCAATGTCCTTTAGACAAGGCAAAACCCTCATTGATTAGTGTGCATTTCAAATTGCGCTAAAAAGCACATCCGTGGTGGATCTGAAATGGTTTAAACTTGTTTTAATGTTTTCAATCACATTGTATTTTGAAGTTGCTGGGCAGCCCCCTGAGCACTTTGCTGGCAAGAGAAAGTGAGCATTTTGGCCCTAATCCTGCAAACACTTGCTCACATGCTTAACTTTACTACCATTAATAGTTCCATCATTTCAGTGATTTAACAAACTGCTTAACATTGTCCTCGTCCTCAGACGTGTTATCACGTTGAAATCTTTTCTCCATTTCAATGGGACTACTGAAGGTAGCAAAGATAAACATATGTGTAATGCCATGGGAACACTACAGACTTCACATGGCATAGCTATGTCAGTCAGGGGCATGAAGAAGTGTGATTCCCCAATACAGCTGTGCCAGCAGAAGCTTCTGCCATGCGTCTGATGAAGTGGGTATTCACCCACGAAAGCTTATGCTCCAATACGTCTGTTAGTCTATAAGGTGCCACAGGACTCTTTGTCGCTCTGTCATAGATGTTGCTAGAATGCAAAGCTGTGCTTTTATTGGGATAGCTGGTTTCACCCGAGGGGGGTTGGGGATTACTATATTAGAGCAAAGTGCAGCTTTGCTACTATAGCTGCACCAAACTAGGAGTGTTCTGACAGTACAGAATACTGGTATTCCTGTACTGGTCAAGGGTTCCTCTTGTAGGCACGGCCTAGGTGTTTGCCAGATCAGGGTCATTATAAAGTAAAGCACAGAATTCACTCCAGGACAGTAAAAGGTCTCAAATCCAAGATGGATAAAGTCAGACTTTCAATTTACTGGTATCTCAGAGCAGGGGCTTAAGGAGGGATACAAATAAGATGAGGGTGGCAAACTAACTCAGAGAGCAAGCATGGAAAAAGGCACTCAGAGGACTGTGAGATAAGTGGCAAAAGAGAGTGGAGGTTGGCCTCATTAGCCAGGCAAGAGTGAGGGGTGAAGGTGGCACTTTAAAGATACAGTTTTCTAATAAACGTCAGGGAATAAAATATCCTCTCTGGACCATGATCGGACATCATTAATGCATATTATTATTGCTCTCACATCAAAAGAACAGCAATGTAAATTGATATCAACAAAATGGGAAGGGAAAACAGTTTAAGTTCCAACTGACAACTAGTTTCAACAGCTCCCCATCCATCCACATTATGTATTTTTAAAGGCACCTATCAACAAGGTACCAAAGCATCATGTTACCCGCAGCCATGCCAGACTGTATTTATCATTATTAGAACATCTTAAGAGGAAAAATACTATGCCCCCAATTTATTTATTTTTATTGAAGAAGAGCTAGATGCAAGACTTGGGAAGGACGCAGGGAAGCATTATGAAAACACTGAAGACAGGAATACTCTGTTTCAGCGACTGCTTCTCATTCCAGAGGTGCATAAAACCTTTCCTACAGGGGAAGAAAGAGGGAATGTAGGCTTCAATGAGCGAGAGAGAGGTACTAGACAACGAACAGTATTATCCAATTTTCATATTAATAGCTATTGCTTATTCAAATGAGCCATATGAAGCCATCATTTCATGTTGCAATTACCTCATCAAATGTCTCCGTCATTTTTTGCATTACATCACTGTTGCACAAACTTTGGAACATCTCAGCTGTCACCATTCCTAGATAGATGAAATTGAAATATTTGGTAATTAAATGGAAATACTTTGCCATACCATTTATTAAAATTTCAAAAATAATAAAGTCCGTACTATAGTAGTGGCTTTGACCTAAATCCGTAAGTGCCAAAAAAAGTAACCCAAACTGTTCTACTTGTTTTTGCATTAGTGCAGGTTGACAAATAAATAGATTATTTGCAGCTGATAACAGTGCACCAACATTCAGCTTCAGCGGAGGGGCGGGTTCAGTTTGGTGTCAAACTGACACCAATTTCTGTTTGTTCATCCACTTGTATACCTTAAATTCCTGCGTTGGCAATATTTTATGACAGAGGTGCTTAATAAGCCATTTAACAGAACAGACTTTGTTCTGTTCACTGAAGCAGATAAAGTCTACAAGATTCCAACCTGTATATCCAGAGGATATGGGAAACAGACTAAGTTGCCATTTGTTCTGCAGTTGTAGCACCAGAAACGAAGCGTGGTGCATACAATTCAGTACTTGAAAGGGAGATCACTAAGGAACAACTGGGTGCTGCAGAAAGTAACGTTGGTGCTTCAATGGATGGCACCATTTCCTCCGAATCACGCCTAAAGAAACACCTCAATATGATATAAAGCGACACTGTGCTGCAGAAGGTGCTAGATTTCAGATGAGTTGTGAAACTCTTATCCATTGATGATCATGGGTCCCATGTCACTTTTCATAACAGCAGGGGTATTAGTCCCTGGCTCAAGGAGAAATTTCAGCTGCAGAAGTTACATTCTACATTGTATTCTTCTTCACTTCCGATCTGTGACTCTGAAGCTTCAAGCTAGCTACCCAGTTGTCTCTAATAGAAGTTGTCTGCTTTGGAAATAATTATTACTTAGACTCACGATCACCCTGTAGCAAGTAGATAGAAGGAAGAGAGACACATTGTTCCTCAAACAACTGAAATGTGAGACTCAATTTGCTAGTACTTGTAAAGTACTTTCAGAGCCTCAGATAAAAATACTAGGTGAGTGCAAACTAGTATTCTGAAATCAACAAAAAACTTGAACAGTCATGAAAAATATTTTTCTCAAAAATCAGTGATTTTGTAAAGATGTGTGGACACGTTTCAGAGTATTAGAGTGCTTGTTACACAAGAAGGTTGAACCTGCAGCCATTATATGCATATAATGCTCAATAAAGTTAAGGGGAGTTGTGTGCCCAAAGCCTGAAGAATTTGGACACTGACATCCTCCATCATTAATCTTGATATGTCTAGAGCCCATTAAAACAAACAATCCACTTCTGTATAAGTGATCTATTATAAAGGCAATTTCTGTCCAGAAGAAACTGTCCAGCAAAAGGATATGCCTATTGTGACACTCTGTATCTTGGGGGAACACCCTGCACCCCCATGTTCATCCTTATAATATGATTGTGTGGTATCCAATGCAAAGTTTGTCATGTTGGGTGTCTTCGGAAGGCTCATGATGCACTGAGCATTGTTGTTATAGTAATGTTATGTTACAGGTTGTAATTTCATGTATGTAGTTATGAGTCTGAAAATGTATCCTCATGGCTTAAAACAAGCCCAGGCAAAACTCTCTAGGAACAAAGGGGCAGTTCACACCTCATCAGGGCAAGTATGGGACAAACCCAGCCCAGCCTCACAGGAACAAAGGACACTCGCCGAGGCAGCAAAAAAGGATCTGTTGAACTCTCAAGTGAGTCACCCCCGTTCCCTTGGTCAGTCAGGGACTACGATGAGGTAATGCTCACCTGACCCTGAAGGGGGGGGGGCAAAGCCAAGAGGGAAGAAAGAACATGATAAAAGGAAGAGACATTTGCCATGCTCTTCTGCTCTCTTCCACCTTCATCTACAGACCTCACCACCAAGTGACTGAAGCGCTGATCGAAGGGGAGAGTCTGGCTGAAGGGCAACCAGCCATCCTGTGGTGAGAAGCATCTAAGTTTGTAAGGGCACCGAAAGTGTTAAAATCAGATTATAATGCGTTTTGCTTTTATTTCATTTGACCAAATCTGACTTCTTGTTCTTTGATTTATAATCACTTAAAATCTATCTTTTGTAGTTAATACATTTGTTTGTTTATTCTACCTGAAGCAGTGTGTTTGGTTTGAAGCGTGTCAGAGACTCCCCTGGGGATAGCAAGCCTGATGCATATCAATTTCTTTGTTAAATTGGCAAACTCATATAAGCTTGCAGCGTCCAGCGGGCATAACTGGACACTGCAAGACAGAGATACCTAGGGTTGTGTCTGGGACTGGAGATATTGGCTAGTGTCATTCGGTTGTACAATCCAAGCAGCTTACATGCCAGAGGCTGTGCATGAACAGCCCAGGAATGGGGGTTCTCACAGCAGAGCAGGGTAAGGCTGGCTCCCAGAGTCAACGATTGGTGTGACCTACCCTGTTTCCCCGAAAATAAGACAGTGTCTTATATTAATTTTTGCTCCCAAAGATGCGCTAGGTCTTATTTTCCAGGGGAGGTCTTATTTTTCCTGGAGCTTCGGGGCCTTATATTCCGGGGTGGCCTTATTATCGGGGAGGTCTTATTTTCAGGGGATGTCTTATATTACAGCGAGAGGCAAAACTGGAAGTAGGTCTTATTTTCGGGGGATGTCTTACTTTTGGGGAAACACGGTAGCATATCACCGATCCAGATAACACCAGGGGAACATCACACCTATATGATACTGAATTACCTTGACAGCCTGAGCACTGAATGTAGAAGTTGATCAGATCTAGAAGTGCCACATCTCGATCTTGGATATAAGCTTCAATCCAGTCATCTACCACAGACTAAAACAGATTACAGAAGAAGAAAAAAAACAGTGATCAAAAGCTAAACAAGGTGTGATATGCTCCAGCCTGGGAAATTCTTAATATAGTATGTCTTACACTATTCTGTCACTAATAGTTATAAAAAATAGATATCCGGAATAAGTTGTCCACCATTTGGTTATGGCCACAACAGTATGTGTGCACACAACTCCTTCTGAAGCAAAGTAAACTGTTAGAACACTATTCCCAGAACTGCACACTCCCCTATATGCCAGGCTAGAACAAACTCAGGCTATGCTAGAACAAAACAAAATAGCTGCTCTCAAAACAACGTTTATATCAAAATTCTTTCTTAGAGTTTCATAAACAAAAGGAAATAAAAAAGGTAGTTGGGCACCATCACTAATCAATATCATAAATATTTTACAAAATTCATATCATATAAAGATGGTTACCAAAATGTATTTGAGAAGTTTACATATACTGTATCAGCCAATAGAGACAGGGTATACTATAAACACCGGTATTAAAGAAAAACAATCAGCTTTTTATTTTTTTAAATACTTCTATCTAAAGTTTGCCACTTGCTGTTGTTACAGACAGCACCTAAGATGACTATAACAAAGAGATGAGGGAAAAAAAGTTTTACTTTCATTTAATTTTTAATTTCATTCATTCCAAGGCCAGAAGGGACCATTGTGACCATCTAGTCTGACCTCCTGTGTAACACAGGACATAAAATTTCCCCAAAATAATTCCTTTTGAACTAGCGCTTACCTTAAAAAAAACATCCAATCTTGATTTTAAAATTGCCAGTGATGGAGAATCCACCATCACCCTTGCTAAATTGTTCCAATGGTTAAATTACTCTCACTGGTATGAATGACAATTAAGAGTCACTGGGCTAGGGAGAGTGAGAATGATGCTTTAGCCTGGTGGTTAGGACTCTCACTTAGGATGTGGAAGATTCAAGCCCAAACCCTATTCCTGGGACTGCATTCAGTGAAACAGCTTCAACAGAAGAGCCTGAGACCCCCTTCCACATACCAGAATATCCTACAGCTCTGTGGGTAGGGCCCTGACTTGAGAGGTGGGAGATTCAGGTTCAAATCCATTCTCCAAATCAGACAGAGGGGGAAACTGAACCCTGGTCTCCTACATTGTAGGTGAGTGACATAAACACTGGGCTAAAAGTTATAAGGAAAGTAGCACCACCACCTTCCCACCCCATTTTGTGAAGCTAGACCTGTAAGAAAAAGCTATAAACATGTCTTTCGATCCAAAATGGATTTTTTTTTTTATTTGGAAAAAAAAATCACAATTTTCAGATTTAGTTAAACCCAAACCAAAAAATTTTTCCCATTTTTTCTAAGGCCAGTGAACAGAATGTAGTTTATTTGCCCAGCTCTAACTGTAAATTTAAAAAGTGGTGACCCTAAAGCCCTGATTCTGCAAGATGATTAACCTGTGTGGACCCTATGCCTGAAGCCGCCCACTGAAGTTAATGAGGCTCTTCATGGGAACAGAGGTTCACCTTCACGAAGCACTTTGAAAGACTGGGGCCTACAATCCAGAATATATATTAATTAAAAAAGGTGTGGGGGAAGCACTTCTTTGATTTCATAAGGATTTCTTCAGCACAGAAGCAACTTATTGACTATACAGGGAAACTAGGTTTTGAAAAATCAGACGCCTTTTTAGGTGCTTAAATATTGCTTTTGGAGCCTGGCTTTAGGCACCTTTTGTTTGGAAATCCCTGCCCAAGTTTTCTCACTCACTTCTTTCACAATTACAGTAACCTTGTTACTTGTAAGTCTAGGATTAAAAAAAAATTTCACACAAGTGTCATTTTTCAAATTGACTGGATAACAAAGACTACATGAAGACTCAACAGATTTCAAAATTAAACCAGAAATTCTTGAGATGTAATTAACAGAAATCATTATGTGCCCATTTCCCCTCTCAGCAGATAGAATGTCAATTCAGTCCAGGAACTGAAAGTACCTGCATTGCCCTCTTGCCCATGCTGACCACTTCAAACAATGTAACTGCTTCAACCACTTCTCCATTCTGCGGCTGGCTTGGCCTTCTGCTCCTGGAAGAATTTCTTCGTATGCGTGCACACTGTTCTTGGACCTTCCTTTTCCCTCTCTAAAATCATTCAAGAGAAGATGTGTAACCATAAGACAACTAATGGCCAGCCAGACAAATGCAGGCTCCCTGGATGTACAGTGTTCTGTCCTCTAGCAATGTGCCTGTTACTCCCATTACAACATTTCCCCAGGATTTCATAGAAGATATGTGTAAATGTTGTCTGACTGCCAGTGTAGGGTGACCAGAGAGCAAGTGTGAAAAATCGGGATGGGGGGGGGGGTGTTATAGGTGCCTATCGAAGAAAATGCCCCAAATATTGGGACTGTCCCTATAAAATAGGGACATCTGGTCACCCTATGCCAGTGGCAAGGAACTATCAAGTAGGGCAGTATGGGGATGGTATAAAGAAGAGGATATGCCAGGTGAAGCTTCCTTTTGCAAGAACATCCTTAAGTAGGAGAGCGTAACTGGTGAGCAGCTGCCAAGTGGTTGCCTCTGAAAGGGCATGGAGCAACAATGATAGTTATTTCTGAATGAGGGTTTGGTAAACAAACATGGAGGCTTGCCTACTTGCTTGCAGGATAAGCACTGCATTGGCATTAATGTTAGCTGCACATACTGTGCATTTAAGGAGGCGTATATCCCAAAGAGGGTTGCCAACCCTCCAGGATTGTCCTGGACTCTCCAGGAATTAAAGATTAATCTTAATTAAAGATTATGTCATCTGATGAAACCTCCAGGAATATGTCCAACCACAGTTGGCAACCCTAATCCCAAAGTGACTTGACTGTGACTCCTGATGCCAACAGAATTTTGGATCAAACTAGCCAGGGAACGAGAGGTGAGAGGCTCTTTATCCCCATTGTCAATGCCATGCAATATCCCACCCACTTTTATCTTATTCAGTGTAACAGGCTACCAATTTATATAATGAAAGCATGAACTCACTGGGGTTTGCAAGTTGCCATTCCTCAGACAGCTGCCACTCTGTACAGTGGACTCAGGCACAGTTTCATCATGGATAGCATTTTCTCTGGTGCACAATAAACAGAAAATATTGAAGGGTATATAGGACTTCTCTTGTGAACAAACTGATCTGCACCCAAATCACAGATTTTCAATGTCCCCACAACAGGCCAAGTGGATTTCAGAGCACAGGAAATTAAATATTAAGGGGTCAACATTTAGGAGGAAGATAAAGCGTACTCGTGGTCTATTTTACCTCTGCATAATCTGCATGTTGGATTTTGAAGCCGTTTGATTAATCTGCTATGAAATGACATCTTTTCTCAGCATTTTCCACACTGAACAATATGCTTTAGCAAAGGCCATTTCTAAGCTGTCTTAAATGAACTCATTGCCTACCAGCAGACAAGGAAAGATGGGAGAAAAGTTAATAGGTACGGTAACCACTTTTCATTCTATAATTATGCCTAATTTGAAATTAACTTTTAATCATAAAGAATAGGGAATCCAATTATTTTTCACAACTAAGAAAAGTGACTACTTAATGGGGAACAACATTCATGGAGAATATCACATCAGTGACAAAGTCACTATCAGTGGTATGTGACAAGAGTCCCATCAAAAGTATCTGAAATTTTCAAGATTCATGGATTTTTTAAGGCCAGACAGGACCATTAAATCATCTAGTCTAACTTCTTGTGCCATGGGCCACAGACTTTCATCCAGTTACTCCTGTATTAAGGGCAATAAAATACAACAGTGAAGCTTACTGACTTGTTAATTTCCTTAGAACCCCTACATGGAGCAAATTTGCACCCTGCTCCTTCAACTAACTCTGCAGAACAAACCCCTGCAACTGCATAGAGGCAGTTGAAGAATTGAGGGTCCAGTGTATTTTATTGGTGATAATAAATGGCAGGTTTTGTTGAAACACTTAAATTTACTTTTGGACCTACTGGGCTGCTTAGTATCAGCAGAATTAGGCCCTCAATGACGGTCACATAGTTTAAGTATCATTCTGCATAACACCCATGTCCTACAAACATTTATGCACGGGCTTAAGTGAGTAGCTACATTGGTTTCTATGTGACTTCTCACCATAGTAAAATTAAAAATGTACATAAGTGTTTGAAGGATTGAGTGCTAAAACAGTAATCCAGGGTGAGTAAGATCTTAGGTAAATTTTACTAATTTAGAAGAAGTTTGACTGTAGAGAGATGGATTATAGGTAATAGCCAAGTCAGGCTGCTACATGCAAGAATTATTAAATGTTTCTCTTTGATTTATTATTTTCTGAGCTGCAGACAGTAAGTGGCTCAGCCAAATTCTGTTTAAACCATTCTAGTTCAAAACTGCAGAAGTTAAAAACCTAAATATACATTTAGCTTGTTCTTCCAACACATACTCTTTTTCCTGATCCCAGATGGATCTTCCCAGACATTAATCTTTTGTAGCCCACTAACTAATTAAAAAGATTCAAGATACTGTGCTTTGTTTTGTTCTTCTACATAATTAATTTCTCTCTCCCTTGGTTTTGAAACTGGGTGTAACATTACATAGCTAGGCTAACACGTTCTTACTTGTGCTGTTTTACTAGACCACCACCACAGGGCGTAGCCAATCACTTCACTACTTGCCCAACCCATTTTCTCACAGTTAAAATACTTGTTATAATGCTCAATATAATTTTGAACTATTGCCCCCCAATTCTTCCCATATAATGTTACATCAATATATTTGTACCATTCCATGGTCCAAAGATGCCTAGGCACATTTCACAGCTGCTATAATCAAATCCAGAAGTAATACAGTTCTTAAATTATGGGAAAAGTAAAGATCTCATTGTAAGACAATTCAGCCCAGGTCTTGTCTGAGCATGCAGATTACTACTTCTAAGAACTGTTTAGTATTCAGATCAACTAGAACTTTATATCATGCAGATCTTTCCCAGGCACCTCACGGAAGCCTGAAAGGTGATCTACAAATAAGGCTCATATGGGAAAATTATCTCTGAATTCAATAGTGTTACACAAGGGATGAATTTGGCCAATGGCATTTACTTCACAAAAGTGCCATAGGCCTTCCACTAACTAGGCCATGAGGAGCAGCCATGCAAAAAATACTGAAGCTCCAACATTTTAGGTCACTTGAAATATTGGGTTGCCTCTGTTCCCACTGCACTATGATGCCACAGAAAGCACCATGCTGTAATATAACCCCACCAACCTAGAAAGAGTCAGTAACATATCTTTGGGCATATTGCTCTGTTTTTTAAAAAATTATTTGACAAGAGCAAATTACATGTTGCATACTTTTCCTTCCCTCCTCCTTTCTATTATCTGTAGGGTTTCTATTTAGATTAGAAATTCTTTGGGGCAAGGACCCATTATCTTGTATGTGCAATAGGCTCCTTACAGATCTCAACGCATTATACAAATGATAAATTTTAAAAACACACCCAAAAAACACACAAGGAGAGTCTTACACATGAGTCATATTAGGAGAGTACCAACTGACCACAGCAGAAGTCAGAAAGAATACACCTCAGGATGAGGTAGGAAAACACCCTCTCATTTAAACAGCAACCCAAAGAATCAGTAAGTGTTCACCATCCCACACCAGGTACGGATTGGTATTAGTTCCAGAAAGATGATAGCCTATGTTCAAGCTCCTCTAATCTGCTTCCTGCCTTTCTTTATCCTTCAAGGAGGCCTGGAAAATCTCTCCCATTCACCAGATGTTCACACAAACAGTTTGCACACATTAATAAGGGACACAATCTCACATACTGCTGGTCTCCAGGTAATTCCTTTTCCTCAGAAAGACCTGGCCACTCTGGCTGTACTTCAAGTGGATAAGCAGTCTGTAGCCTAAGCTTCCCCTTTCCCTCCCTGCTCTTCCTCTCTCTCCCAGGCAGACTGATATCCGGTTCCTTTCAAGAATAGTAGAGAGCTTCCCTAAACCATCTCTCAAAGCCTGTTTTTTTTTTCTTTTTATATCTTAATCCCATCCTACTTATTCCCTTCAGCCATAGGATCCTCACTCAAATCTTGACATTTATGGCAAGTGTTTTGGTCTTCAAGGGAACAGCAAAGAGCAACATATCTGCAGGCCACAGTAGTCTCTTTCTGCCTGGCCCAATGTGGGGTTTATACACCCAAACACACAATAAAGATAGAAAGCTATATCAATCAATAACCACCATAGTTTTCGGTTTTTTTAAACCAACATTTGGATTGTTTTATGAAGCTATGGTTCTTCCTGATTGATGTGGTTATCTAGCTTTATCTGTGTTGGGAGCAGCACATAATCTACTTTTTAGTTTCTTGAATTGTTCTGGCAGTCTTATTGTGCATCCCTTAAAAAAACATTTTGATCTTTTTTAATCCTTATATAGTTTTTCTCTGTGATGGATTGCGAAGCTCCTCTCTTTTCAATTGTTTTTGTTTATTTTGGTACAAAAATTCCAAACTACAAATTAAGGCTAAGGCCGAGATCCTACAAACTCTTAAGCACATGCATAACTTTTCTACAAGACTGCTCACAAATAGAGTTATGTATATGCTTAACTATCCACAGGATGTGAGCCGAAGTAATGGAAACTATACCATATGGATCCATTTAGCAGACACTGCTGAAGTAAATGAAATTTGCCTACATTAATTTTATTTGCACATCTTTAACTTTCTTTGAACATATGTTATAAGCTCTATCCTGTCTCACCACAGCTGTATCGGAGCAACTTGAGAACTATTATACCTGGAGTTACCAAGGAAGAATGACACATATAACATAAGAATGGCCACACTGGGTCAGACCAATGGTCCATCTAGCCCAGTATCCTGCCTTCCAACAGTGGCTGGTGCCAGATGCTTCAGAGGAAATGAACAGAACAGGGCAATTATTGAGTGATACATCCCGTTGCCCGATCCCAGCATCAGGCAGTCAGAGACTTAGGGACACTGAAAGCATGGCATCGCATCTCTGACCATCTCAGCTAACAGCCATTGATGGACCTGTCCTCCATAAACTTATCTAATTCTTTAATACAGTTACAGTTTTGGCCTTCACAACCACCCCTAGTAATGAGTTCTGCAGGTTGACTGTATATTGTGTGAAGAAGTACTTCCTTTTGTTTGTTTTAAACCTGCTGCCTAGTAATTTCATTGGATGACCCCTGTAATTTTCAGGATCACCTCTGGAGACTTTTTTTTAAAAAGGCATCACATGAATTATCCTTCAATCAATTGGTACAGAAACTGATTTAAGTGATAGGTTACACACCAGGTTAGCAATTTCATATTTGAGTTCCTTCAGAACTCTTGGGTGAATACCATCTAGTCCTGGTGAGTAATTACTGTTTAATTTATCAATTTGTTCCAAAACCTCCTCTATCAACATCTCAATCTGATACCTCAGATCTGTCCCCTAGAATTAATGGCTCAGGTATGGGAATCTGTCTCACATCCTCTGCAATGAAGACCAATGCAAAGAATTCATTTAACTTCTCCACAATGGCCTTGTCTTCCTTGAGTGCTCCTTTAGCACCTCGATCATCCAGTGGCCCCACTGATTGTTTGGCAGGCTTCCTGCTTCTAATGTACAACAGAAGCCCATTTAACCGAGCCTCCATTATTATCCAGCTCTCCATATTAACTGAACATCCAGCACACAAACAGGAATATGGGAAACTGACATCACCTCCATGACACCACTACTTTTTAGCCTTGTAAAAGGACTGTGACTACTAAGCGAAAACACGTATTACTGTCAATGGATGCTAAAATAGAGATTATTAATAAAATAAAAAAGGAGAGTCACTGACAAAAATAGCACAACAGTATAGAACTGGAGAAAACACAGAATCAAACATTAAACACAATGCCAAGCAAATTCTTAAATACAGCACGAAGAATTCTGATCTAGGTGAAGCCCTTTATCAGTGGTGAGAGAGGAAGGCATTCCTATTAGTGATCCTTTACTATGTGAGAAGGCTAAGAGCTTTAATCAAGCTTTAGGAGGAGATGCTGGTTTCTCTGCTAGTCAGGGATGGCTCAGTCAGTTTAAAAAGCGTGACAACACCCAACAACGAACAGTCACCAGGGAAAAGCTGTCTGCCGATTTGGGAGTTATTTCTGACTATCAAAAAAAATTGCAAGGTATCTTAGCCAAGCACAACTTGTCACCGGAACAAGTTTATAACTGTGACAAGACTGGCTTGTATTGGAAGATATTGCCATCAAAAACACTTAATACCAGAACGTAAAGACCTGTGCCTGGCTACAAACAAAGCAAAGAATGTTTAACAATCCTGGCTTGTGCTATTGTCAGTGGCACACACATGCTCCCATTGACTGTCATTGGTAAAGCAAAGAATCCATGTGCACTTTAAAATGCACTCATGGATGCTTTGCCCGTCATCTACAAATCACAGGGAAAAGCACGGATGGACAGTGCTTTGTTTCATGATTGTTTTTTTTAAAACTTTTGTACCAAGCATATGGGTTCATCTGAATGAAGAAAACATCCCACCAAAAGCTATCTTACTGCTAGACAACACACCCGCTCACCCTGACAACGGAGGGCTTACCTCCCAAGATGACCCGATCTTCTGTTTTTTTCTCCTTCCAAACGTAACATCTCTTGTGCAGCCTATGGACCAAGGAGTGCTGGAGAGTCTAAAATGGCACTATAAATGGCATCTTCTTAATCAACCACTGATGTCTGATGAAGCATCTGAGAATGAAGGCAACATGTTGCAGCACTGGAAAAAAATCAGTATCGAGAATGCTATATATGGAGTTGCAGAAGCCTGGAAAGACATCCCTGGGTCAAGCTTACAAAAACTGTGGAAAAATCTGTGGCCTGCAGTTATTGCTAACACTTAGGACAGTGAACTTGCAGCTGCAACAGCAACATTAGCAGCTGAAGAAGAGATCAATGCATTTGTTGACCTCCTCCACAGACTTCCTGGCTGCACAGAAGTTGACAAACATGATGTTGCAGATTGGCTTGAAAATGATTGATGCTAATGACCCTGGCTATCAGTTACTGGATGATGCCGAAATCATGCAGACTGTACACTACAGGCAGACAGTGATTATGAAGCTGAAGATTCTGCCAAGGAAGAATTGACAGAAAAAATTTCTCACTGCAATTCTGCAACAGCAGGAAACTTCTTCCTTCCGTACTTGACGCAAGAGCCCGGTACTAACCCCACTGAACTGTGGTTAATGAAGCAACTTTGTGATCGCACAATGAAGAAGAGAACCTCTCATCTAAAAAACACTGTAAAGAAGGGGGCTATGTTTTAAGGCTTGAATTTATCATTTCTGCATTTTTAAAAACTGGTACTCTTCACTAGCAATAACTGTTCGTGCAGGCAGTAAATAAAGAAGGGAGCTATGTTTTAATGCTTTGTAATTATCATTTTTGCATTTTTTAAAAATTGTACTGTTTGTGATGTTACGAGTAAACATGCAAAACAGAGATGGTGCCTTCTGTAACATTAGACATAATGTTCAGGGTTAATGACTAAAGAGTGTAAAAATGATCAATACAACTTGTTAAATACTCATGTCGGTTTTCCTGTTAATAAATGAACAAAACATTGTTTGTAAGAACTAACGGTTTGTATATACTGTTAAATAGATTAAAAGGGGGGTATGTTTTAATGCTTTTTCTGGGAGGGATCAGCTGGTTTAAAAGCAACTCCGCATCTTAAAATAATGGCGTGAAAGCTCTTTGCCCATTCTCCTGATTATCTGAATTTTTGATTCTCCGATCTGGTCCTCGTCCCAATTAGATCGTTACATTTTGCTGTTAGTTTTTGTGTCTTTTGCTAGTTACTTCTAAATGGATTATCTCCTCTCAGATACATGTGTGCAACCCCCATTGATTTCAATGAGGCTGCATACGTGTAACTGTGGGCAGATTGTGGTATGACATATTATGAAAGTGCCCCAACCTTTTGAAGTGCCCACAATATCTATCATTCATTTCTACCTAGGTTTCTACTTCAGACAGAAATTTACTGGAAAGAGCACTGGAAGGCAACAAGACCTCAAAGCAAATTCTTGTCAAGGAGTGGTGGAGATGAGTGCATCTCCGAGCTCCTGTAGAACCCAAATGAGATGACAGCACCCTGGAGAAGACCTGTTTTGGAGGTGGTGAGATCAGCAAGTACCTGATTAAAATTTAGGTTCAGCTAGTGAAGATGCAAAAAACACATAAGAACTGCACAAAAGTTTTTCTTCTGAATTTAAACAATTTTGCCTGTTTTAGTCTTGTTGTTTCATTTATCCATTCCCTATATATTCCTTGACTAAGGTTTGTAATGGTTGTAAATATTGTTATAAATCTAGTCTGCATTTTCTCCTTACACAGCGATAGTGTTGCTTGTAATATGAAAGAACATAAGAACTGCCATACTGGGTCAAACCAGTTGTCCATCTATCCCAATATCCTGTCTCCAACAGTGGCCAGTGTCAGAGCTTCAGATGGAATATCTAGAACAGGGCAATTTTGGAAAGATCCTCCCGTCTTCCCCTCCCAGCTTTTGGCAGTCAGATTTAGGCCACCCTGAGCATGAAGTCATTGATGGATCTATCCTCCATGAACTTATCTAGTTCTTTTTTTAACCCAGTTATACTTTTGGCCATCTTAACATTCTATGGCAATGAATTCCATAGGTTAGCTGTGCATTGTGTGAAAAAGTATTTCCTTGTTTGTATTAAACCCACTGCCTATTAATTTCATTGGGTGACCCCTTGTTTTTGTATTGTGGGAAAGGGTAAATAACACTTCTCTAGTCGCTTTTTCCACACCATTCATGATTTCATAGAGGTCTATTATACTCCCCCTGGATTGTCTCTTTTCCAATCTCAACAGCTAATTTAGAACCTCTCATTTTGTACGTATAGTTGGGATTATTTTTTCCAACGTAAATTACTTTGCACTTAACAACATTGGATTTCATCTGCCATTTTGTTACCCAGTCACCCAGCTCTGTGAAACCCTCCTGTAAGATCATGTCTACATAACAGAGTTTGGTCAACAAAAGTCAGCTTTCGTCAACAAAACGGTGGAGGAGTACACCCTGAAATGCTCCTCCTGCTGATTTAACTCTCTTGCAATGCCAACATAATAAAATCACCTGGACGAGAGGCATAGAGCTTTTTGCGACAAAGTTAGAGCGACACAATGTCAGTGTAGACACTGTGTTATGTCACCATACATGGTCTTCAGGGTGTGTCCCACAATGCCCATCACGGCCACTCTGGTCACCAGTTTGAACTCCGCTGCCCTGCAGTCAGGTACACATGCATGCGTCCCTCTCTCTTTAAAGGCCCAGGAATTCCTTTAAATTCCTCTTCCTGTTTGTTCGGCACGGACAGCTCACATAGTATCTTTCCAGCTGACCATGCTGGCTTTCCACAGCAAACGCTCTCCCGCCTGAAGTACACCGGAGTTATTGGATCTGCTGAGTCTGAGGAGAGGCGGCTTTGCAGTCACAGCTCTGCTCCAGCCGTAGGAACTTTGAAACCTATGGACAGATTGCTTGTGGCATGGAGGAGAAGGGGCATGAAAGGGACATGCAGCAGTGCCGTGCTAAGATCAAGGAGCTGAGCCAGGCGTACCAGAAGGCAAAGGAGGCCAACTGTCGGTCTGGTGCACTGCCAAAGACATGCCATTTATTTACAAGGAGCTGCATGCCATCCTCGGTGGCGACCCCACCTTCACCACCAAGAGCCCCATGTATACTTAGGGGGGCTGGAGACAGCAGCCAGCAGATTGTACCCTGAGGATGAAGTGGTGGATGATGAAGTGGAGTTGGAGTAGGAGATGGGACAGGCAACTGGGAAATCCATTGGCGTGGTGAGCCAGGGCCTCTTTTTTAACTTTGGAGTGGTCTAGCCAGTCTCAGCACTCCAGCTCTGGTGTCCATGACACAGAAAAGGGAAGCTCTGGTAAGTATCCACTGTGCTTTGATACTGCATGAGGTAGCCCTCTGCTTTTTTCCCCCAGGGTAGAAGAGGGATAGAAATAACCAATACAACTTTCCTGGAGGTACTTTGCAATCCTCTGCTGAAGGTTCCTTGGGAGGGCAGCCTTGTTTCTTCCCCCACAGTAGGAAAGTTGCTGCGCCAATCAGCAATTACCTGTGCAGGCATCAAAGCAGCACACAGACAAGCAGCATACAGACCCAGTCTGCAGTTGCATGCATGCAGGAGCTGCATCCTTGCATCCTTGGTTACCCTCAAGAGTGAGGTGTCAGCTTCTATCAACCCTGACTGTATAAAACGGTGCCAGCATTCATAATAGTGGCCCTAGGTGCTTCTATTGATACCCCTGTGAACCCCACCCTTTCTCCCATCTTGCCCCTTCCCCCCCACCCCAGGCCGAACTCATCCTTAGGGCTCTTGCCGTGCTGTGTACCTGCTAAGGGAAAGTGAGAAAGTGGTGCATCTAACTAGTATGAATCAAGGCTGTGAGTGCACTCACAATAGTGCTACTGTCTATCGTTTCTTTAGCTTTTGCAGATGTTCTCTTGAGGATCTCCTCCTGCACACTGGCTGAGCAGTTCTCTCTGATAAAAAAACCAGGAGGAGTAAGGAAAACATTCAGGGAGATGTTGCATCATCTGATGCTACGTATAGCGAGCAAAGAGTATGGAGAGAGACTGAAAAACTGAAAATGGGTGGCCAGGAGAGGAAACGGGCAGGAGCAGATGATACACCTGCCGGAGGACCAAACAGACATGCTGAGGTCCCTGATTACACTGCAGGCGGAACACAGGTGCTCGCCTCCCCCTGCAGCCTATACAGAACTTCCTTCCATTCCCTCCCCAAACTCCACACACAAATTCCTCAGCCATCACAGTACCCCATGCATTCCACCCTTTGGGACATGTTTCACAATGAAGCTGGACATACACCCAGCTGTGAGAGCTTCATTTCAAAAAGCACTCCTCAGTATCACGTCCTTTGTGGAAAACAGAAATGCTTGTATAGCTGATGAATAAAAATGTACATATAAAAAGAAAACCGGTATTTATTTGCCTATAACACATGGTGGTTGCTGCTGAAATTCATACACAGTGGCAATCGGTGCATTAGCAGACTACAATTAATGCACACACGGAAATCATTAAAAGGCTCATACTATCATGAAGGAAAGCAATGCCTGGCTCAATGCATTAAAAAAAAAAAACACATTACTGGGGCTCCTTCTCAAAATGCTCCTGCAAACTCTCCCTGATTCGAATAGCGCCCCCCCTCACTGAACCCCTCTAACAGCCCTGGTATTTGGCTGCTCAAAAGCAGCTGCCAGTCGATCTACCTCAACGCTCCACCCCTGCGGAAACTTTTCCCCCTTAACTTCACAAATGTTATGCAGAGCACAGCAGGCTGCTATGATCATGGGAATTTTCCTCATTGAGGTCTAAACTGCCAAAAAGGCAGCGCCAGTGACCCTTTAATCTGCCAAAGGCACATTCAACGGCCATTCTGCACCTGCTGAGCATGTTGTTGAAGCGCTCCTTGCTGCAGTCAAGGTTTCCAGTGAAGGCTTCATGAGCCATGGGAACAAGGGGTAGGCTGGGTCTCCCAGGATCACAACTGGCATTTCCACATCTCCAATTGGAATCTTCTGGTCTGGAAAGAAACTTCCTGCTTTCAGCTTTCTATATAGGCCAGCATTCCTGAAGATGTGTGCGACATGCACCTTCCCTGACCCCCTGCGTTGATGTCAGTGAAACAACCTAGAGGATCCACCAGCACTTGCAATACCATAGAAAAGTAGCCCTTTCTGTTGATATACTCCATCACGAGGTGGTCTGAGGCCAAAATAGGGATATGCGTGCCATCTATCACCCCACCACAGTTAGAGAATCCCATTGAAGCAAAGCCATCCACTATTTCCCGCACATTGCCCAGAATCACAGTCTTTCATAGCAAGAGACGATTAATGACCCTGCACACTTGCATGACTGCAACCCCCACGGTGGACTTTCCAACTCCAAATTGATTCGCGACTGATCAGTAGCAGTCTGGAGTTGCCAGCTTCCACACAGCAATCACCACTCACTTCTCCACCCTGCGTGCAGCTGTCATTTTAGTGTCCCTGTGCCGGAGGACAGGGGTGAGCTCCGCACACAGTTCCAGGAAGGTGGCATTGTGCATCTGAAAGTTCTGCAGCCACTGCTTGTCATCCCATACCTACATCACAATGCAATACCACCAAGCCCAGTACTGATGGTCCGTGTGCAGCTGCTCCGTGAATGCCAACAGCAATCTTGAATTGTTTCTTTCCATGGCACGCAGCAGGGCAGACACCACGGTGTCATTATCAGACTCACAGTCCATGAAATACTGCAGGATTAGCTGTGTTGTGTTCATAATGCTCATCACAAGACTGCAGAGCAGTGTAGGATCTATGCTTTGAGACAGAGATGGCGGGCATGCAGTTTACAGGGGTGGTTGAAAAGTGGCGCGAAACATAGTCAGAAGCCCATAGAATGATGGGATGGAGAAAACTGCATCATGGGACAGTGAGCCCGCCCCCTTAAGGCACTGTGATCCCTTGCCAGAGCATCCAGGGGCAAATGGTGGCGAGTTGTACAGTGGGATAGGTACCCAATGTGCATTGCTCTCTCTGTCAATGCAAGAGCACCAACTGTGGACACACTCCACCATCACAAGGAGCATTGTGTGGATGTGCAAAAGTAGTTTAATTACAGCAGTAGATGATCGTCGACGTAACTTAAGTCGACTTAACTTGGTAGGGTAGACATAGCCTAGCTCTTCAGACTTAACTATCTTGAATGATTTGGTATTATCTACAGACTTTGCCATTTTACTGTTCATTCCATTAATGATCTGGAAAAGGAATATGTTGAACAGCACAGGTCCAAGTGCAGATCTTTATTTCCCTTTCTCCATTCTGAAAATTAACCATTTATTCCTATCCTTTGTTTCCTATCTTTTAATCAGTTACTGATCCATGCAAGGACCTTTCCTGTTACCCCATGACTACTTAGCTTCCTTAAGAGCCTTTGGTAATGGTAAAGGACCCTGCCAAAGGTCTTCTGAAAATCCAAGTACCTACCAGATCACCCATGTCCGCGTTTTTCAACCCCTCAAAGAATCTAATAGATTGGTGATGCATGACTTCCCTTTACAAAAGCAATGTTGACTCTTCCCCCCAACATATTGTGTTCATCTATGTTTATGATAATTCTATTCTTTACTATAGTTCCTACCAATTATTTCATCTGGTGCTGAAATTACACCCAAAGGCCTATAATTGCCAGGATTGCACCTGGAGCCCTTTTTAAAAATCACCATTACATTAGCTACCTTCCAGTCATCTGGCACAGAGGCTTGTTTCAGCAATAGGTTGTAACAATACAGTTCTGCAATTTCATATTTGAGTTCCTTCAGAACTCTCTGGTGAATACCATCTGGTCCTGGTGATTTATTACTGTTTAATTTATCAATTTGTTCTAAAACCTCTTCTATTGACACATCAGTGTGGGACAGTACTTCAGATCTGTCACCCAAAAAGCATAGCTTTGATGTGGGTATTTCTCCCACCTCTTTTGCAGCAAACACTGTGACAAAGAATTCATTTAGCTTCTCTGCAGTGACTTTGTCTTCCTTGAGTACTCCCTTAATATCTCAGTCGTATAGTGGCCCCATTGCCTGTTTAACAGGCTTCCTGCTTCTGGTGTACTTTAAAAAATTCTTACTGTTAGTGTGTGTATCTTTAGAAAGTTGCTTCTCAAATTCTTTCGTGGCCTGCTTATAAGGGAACAATAAAGGGAACAAATCATTTAGGTCAAGATTCTGCAAATTTTTCAGGGCAGGCAGACTCTGCCTGAAATCAATGAGGGCCAAAAGTCATGGAATAACTTAGGCAGATCAAACTAGACTTTGAATCTTTCAAGGAAGGGAGGAGGTAATCAATGAGGCAACAAAAGTAGGAGTTAGTACAGCATATAATCAGTAGAGAGAATCCCCCAAAGCCATGCATCATGGATCCACCCAGTGACTGCAGGAGTCATTAGACAAGGGCAATTCACCAAAATACCAATGTATTTTAGAAACTCCTCATTGTCAGGACTTACTTTTGGCTGGGGAGGTTAGTGGCTGTGTTGGGCTTGGCTATCATTTCCGTTACATCATTTCAGCAGAGTAAAAACCAAGTTAACATGATCCACACCACTTTCAGGAAACTTCGCCAGGAATGGGAATAAGAGTAGGGTTACCATATTTCAAGTTCCCAAAAAGCAGACACTGCAGGGGGTGAAGGGAATGGGAAGGGAGGGAAGGGAAGCCGAAGGGGGCGTACCTGCAGCAGGAGTACTCACAGGAGATGGGGGAGCAGTGTCACTCCCTGTCACAGTGGCAGGGTGGCTGGCACAAGCCCAGGACACAGTGACAGTTGTCAGTCAGCACCTCCCCGTGAGATCCCTTCCCCAGGGCTGAGCAGGGCAAGGGGGCATGGGTGGGCAGGATTCAGCAGCTGTGACTTGTAGGGGAAAGGACCAGTCAGCTGCGGATGCAAGGGAATGGCCCAATCAGCGGTGGATACAGGGGATTGACCAACTGGGGAGCTGATCAATTGTGGCTCTTTCTGAACTGCAGCTTCTCTGCTCTGTAAAATCCGGGACATTTGCTGTTATTTGAAAACCCCGCTGGGACAGGGAAAGCAGGCTCAAAAAAGAGGCTTTTCTGGGGAAACCGGGACTATGGTAACCCTAAATAAGAGCAGCAGAAACTAAACTCCACTTCCTTGGTTCTTGTCAGAGAAACCTGTCAAGAAAAAGAATGGCTAGAGGTTAGCAAGGCAAATCTTCTATAATCAAGTTAAAAGAGAAAGCCAAAAAAGCAAGCCATTTTAAGGGTAGTGACTTCAAAATAAAAGAATAATGGATTGTGAGGGTAAGGTGGCAATAGTAGCATCTAGTGCCTACGAACAGTCCTACAGATCAAGCGGGGTTTTAAAAGGTAACTAGAGGACATACTGTGGGTTCATATTTATCATTGCACCATTACAGAGACCACAGGAAATATGCCGGCATCCCTCCACTGAATGAGACGCAATCCTTGGGCATTGCAGATAACATGACCAATTAGTCATTTTGGGGCTGCAATGATATAATACAAAGAAAGGGATACAACTGACTGTAAAGGTGGACCTTGGTGCAGTGAAAAAGGGTGAAATACAGCATAGCAAAGCCGGGGTCAAAATGCATGACAGGGTGCAGTAGTAGTCTGCAGTGTAGAGGGTGCTCACTGTATCACAGCTGGTTTGCAACGCAAGACGGATATGGTAAAGGGTTGCACTGTAGTGCAGGAGGATGCAGAGCAGAAGGGGTTCAGTGCAGCACAGGTGTAATGCAAGAGGGGATGCAGTACATTGTAACACAAGGGGATGCAGCGCAGGAAAATCCAGTGCAAGAGGGGTGCCGTACAGTGTAGCACAGGGGGATGGGATGCGAGAGAGGCGCAGCACAGCGCAGGGGTGCCAAGGCAATACATGGGCAGGAGGTACGGACAGCCCCTCCGGGGGGGAGCATTAAGGACAAGACTCACCCCTGACGCTCTAGAACACAAGCCCGTGACACCCGCGCGCGCTACCCAGACACTGCGCGATCCCGCGCCGCACACGCCCCGGCCTCAAACACGGCGGCGACCACTCAAGAGGCCCCAATCCATTGGTACGCGAGAGCGCGTGCGCCAAGTCGGCCTACCGGAGTGCAGCTGAGTATCACGTGACGCAGTCGAGCCGTCACTCACTACAATTAATAAATTCCTCTTCCCGCGGGCCCATCCCGGCAGTCAAAGCCCCGCCCACCCAGGAAACAGACCCCGCCCAAAAGAAGCAGCGAGGGGGCGGGGCTTGGGGCGCGGGCGCGCCGCGGAACGTGTCTGGCGGCGGCCGTGGTGGTTTCCTGGAGAACCTACGTGGGAAGCGGAGCGCGAGCACGAGCACGTACCCCTCGCGCAGGCCTAACGGCGTCCGAGCGCCAGGCCACCCCTCTCGCGGTACCAGGGCGGGCGATGGGGTCCGGGCTCCTGCTCCGAGGGGCCGCCGCTCTGTGCGCCCGGGGGCTCCGCGCCGCAGCGGCCGGGAGGCTCTGCCCGCTGCTCCCCCGGCCGCCCGCCCGGCTCCTCAGCACTGGGGGCGCCTGGTGCCTCCGCGCCGCGCTGGGGCCGCCGGGCCAGGGGGAGCCGCCCCGGAGCGTGGGGCGCGGGAGGGGGGCGGCGTACAGCGAGGGGGAGGATGGTGATGAAGCGGAGCTGGAGGAGCTGCTGGCCCCAGGGCCGCCTCCCGGGGCCCAGCGGCTGCTCGTGGTGCACCCGGCCGTCAAGTGGGGAGCGAAAAAGCCCCAACTCACCACAGGTGAGGTGCGTGGGACTCCCCCCCCTCCCCCCACGGTCCCCAGTGATCGGGGCACCAGCCTCGGCCCCTCCAATCCTCTGGCTCTTTCTTTTCCCTGTGCAGGGAGATGCGTCTTCCTTAGGGTAACATCCTAGTGGAGGGAAGGCACAGGTCGTTTTTACCTTGACGTAGCGGGCTGACACGGGACCCTACTCCCCCGCCTGGGATTTACCTTGAGTCGTTTCCTCACGGTGAAAACTGCCTGGGCCTTGTCTTTATGAGGCTTTTACGCTATCTTGAAAAACAACACTCAGCTTTTTTTGCAGTGGAGATGGGAACCTCTCCAAAGCTAACTACTCAAACACTCACACTTGACAGATTGTAGCACAGTAGATTGAGGCCTGGTCTACACGGGGGGAATCGATCTAAGAGACGCAACTTCAGCCACGAGAATAGCGTAGCTGAAGTCGACGTATCTTAGATCGAATTAAAATTACGTACTTTGTGTCCTCGCGGCACTGGATCGACGGCCGCGGTTCCCCCGTCGACTTCGCTTCCGCCTCTCGCGCTGCTGGAGTTCAGCTGTCGACGGGAGAGCGATCGGGGATCAATTTATCCTGTCTACACTACACGCGATAAATCGATCCCTGATAAATCGATTGCTACCCGCCGATCCGGACGTACCCTTACTAACTTAGCCTCTGTGTAATGAAAAATGCTTGTGTGCCCCTCCTATCATGTCAGCTTCTTCAGGATCTTTATGAATTAAATAAATCTTCAAGTATGTTAAATGTTGTTACAAAGCGAACAATGAGCAATTGTTCTCCATCTCTACAGGCGGTAGGACAAGAAGTAATGGCCTAATGGCACCATGGGAGATTTAGGTTAGATATTAGGAAAATCTAACTATAAGGCCTGGTCTACACTAACACCCCAATTCGATCTAAGGTACGCAACTTCAGCTACGTGAATAACGTAGCTGAAGTCGACATACCTTAGTTCGAATTTACCGCGGTTCAGACGCGGTCCACACACGGCAGGCAGGCTCCCCCGTCGACTCCGCGGTACTCCTCTCGCTGAGGTGGAGTACCGCAGTCGACGGCGAGCACTTCCTGGTTCGAATTATCGCGTCCACACCAGACGCGATAAATCGAACCCGGAAGTTCGATTGCCAGCCGTCGAACTACCGCGGTAGTGTAGACAAGCCCTAAGGGTAGTTAAGCTCTGGCATGGACTTCCAAGTGAGATTGTGGAATCTCCATCACTGGAGGTTTTTAAGAACAGGTTGGACAAACACTTGTCAGAGATGATCTAGGTTTACTTAGGCTTTCCTCAAGGTAAGCGGCTAGACGTGATGAGCTCTCAAGGTCCCTTCTAGTCTTACATGTCCATGATTCTATAATTCTAAATATAAACTTTAACTTGGGAGGCAAGCAGGAATGTTTGGCAAACAACCAGAGAACAATTTATATTTTTTAAGAGGTTTGCTATATATTTCTTTCACATTATCAAGATACAAAGTCAAAATGGCCAACAGTTCTAGATCAATGTATGTTCCCCCTTTTAAATACTTAATGCCACATTGACAGTGATTTGTTGCAAACTTAGGTCTTGATTCTAAAAACACTTATGGACATGATCAACTTTATTCAGGGCTTGTCTTCACTTCAGTGTTAGCTCTAGTTATCTGTACTCAAGTTGACTGAGATTGCAGCATAACCACTCCAACTCATGCTAGGCTATCTGCTGCAAAACAGCATTAGAGCCACACAGAGTAACTGAGTCCCCATTACATTATTAGCTCAAACATCAGCGTCACTTGAGTTTCAAGACAAATGTTCCAACAGTCCAGTTAGTTCAAGTCTAAAGCACCACTTAACTCGTGCTACAGATTTTTGTGTGTGCACAGGAGTCAAGTTAGGGGCAACACTCAAATTATACCTCAAGCTAACAAGGCACTGAAGATAAGCCCCTACATGAATAGTCTCATGGGGTTGCTAATGTGCTTAAAGTTAAGCAAATGCATGTTTCCAGGATCGGGGCCTTGATAAGGCGTACTGAGTTGTGTCTGGTTTCATTTCTCCACAACTGCAGCTAGTTATAGACATGTCAGTCTCTCTGGGATAGTAAGGAGTTTTGTCTTGGGTGACACCACTCCAAATGCTCCTGTCCTGCAGAAATCTGTAACAGAAAGCACTAGAGATCATATAGTTTAGGGTATTTTACATTTGCATTTGATTCCTTGTCCTCTTCTTTACCAGTCTTATTAATAGGAATGTTTCTAATATGGTCGTAACAGCTGTTAGTGATTTTCAGATATCATCCCTTCACTGCCACTTTAGTAGACTTGTGCCTCAACCAATGCAGCCAATCTGATGAGGAAACTGTTTTGTCCAGTATAACTTTAAGGCACAAATTATGGGACTTCCACCACTTTCTTTGGGAGACTATTCTTCAGCCTAATTTCAATTTATCTCACTCATAGGAAGTTTATCTAAATTTAATTCTAGTTTGTCCATGTTGCTGGCCACAACCTGTGTTGTGAACTGTTTTCGGAAGTGCTGTTTTCAAAACTACTAGATGTACTAAGATACACATGAAACAAACTGGGTCAGTGGTTCTCTTCCATTTCTGTACCATTATCTCATGTTACAAACAAAAGAAAGTTTTGCACTCTCTTCCTTCTGTCTAGCCAGAAAGACAAAGAGGATGGTTGTGAACCGTTTGAAATCTATTTATGTTTCTAGTAAAGCAGGAGTCAGTATGGCTGCCTGTTGTTGTTCTGTCTATGAACCAGCATCACTGATGATGTCGGGAACAATGTGAACGACTCTAGAAGTTCTTTAAATATTTCTACAAAGCAGTAAGGCATTAGCAACATTGTTTTGCTGTCACAATTTTCCCACCATCTTTCTGTAAGTAGGGTTAAACAAAAATTATGATAGTAACCCTTTTAGGACTGAAATACAATGTTGATGCAAATAACTATGTAATTTCCTTGTTAATTTGTGCAGATTTTTTGCCAATATAGTTTATACCAGTTCCTCAAATGAAAAGGACTTTTTTGCTGGTATAACTACATCTAATCTAGGGCTTTTGCTGTCCTATTTATGTTGGTGAGGGCTATAATTTTTCCACATTCCTAACCAACAGAGCTATGCTGGCAAAACTTTTTTAAGTGTAGACCAGGCCTCACTGTTTATGTTCTTATTGCAAATGTTGGAAATCTGTGTGCAGAGTTAGGACTGTATACTATAACCTTTTTTCTTTTTCTAATACTAAAGCTGAATTACAGATCGCTGAAGCTGTTGCTCTAATAAACACCCTTCATAATTGGACAGTTTTAGATAAAATAATTCTGTCTACAAAAACTCCCGACAAGAAGTTTATTTTTGGCAAAGGAAATTTTCAGATTCTGACAGGTAAGAAGAAAACTAAAGATTTCTTAATTCAATATATCATACTAAGTGAAAGATTTTTACCCTTCTTAAGCTAATTAATTATTATTGCAGACACAGGAGAGAGCTAAGGTTTTGTCTACTCCATAGGCAGGTTTACAAACAGGCTTCGGAGATGTTGATTAAAAACATGAAAGATGGAAATAACCAATACTTGCTGTAAGGACTTGTTTTTACTGTAACAGTTAACATGAGTTAGTACACTTGAGTTACTCTGCTCGACCTAGTCTAGCTCAAGTGAGAGTGATCATGCTGTGAAACAACATTTGCACTACAGAATGATTGGATGAGCTATAACTCCAGCTCTTGAATCCTCACTGCTAGCTTGAGCATCAGTAGCACTCAATTTCCAACCCACCTCCCTGCCAGTCCAGCTAGCTCAAGCCTAAAGCACTTAAGTTGAGCTAGAGATTTGTGTTGTGGATGGAAGTTGGGTGTGGGTCAAAACTCGAATTTTAACTTGAGCTAACAGTACAGTGAAGACAAGCCCTAAATGTGTGATATATAGTATGATTCTAAATACCTTAAGGGCCCAGCTACTCAGCAGAATCCACAAACTAGCCAGTAGCAGATGCCAACAAGAGGAGTGTGTCCTAAGCCCTGCCCCTCAGGGAGTTGGGCACCTCAATCTAGGCTGGAGGGAGACACACACAAACGCCAATTTCCTCTCTACCTGGGGGGTGCTTGACTCGCCACCTCCACCCAGGCCTGCCCACACTCCATCCCTTCCTCCAAGCCCCCACCCTGGGCCCCACCCCACCTCCTTCCCCCAAGCCCTGCCTCTTTCTGCTCCCACTCCACCCCTTCCCCCAAGGTCGCACCCCCACCTCTTCCTGGCCCCGAGC